ACGTGTCCATAGTTTTTAAAAATAACTTACCTTTAAGCTCCGTTGCTTTTCTTCTAATGCAGCCTTGTGTTAAATTTGACAAGGAAAGTATGAAAGCTTCTTTAACTCTCGGGGACATCACGTCCGAGATTGCCGCAATTAAACGTTCAAAATCCCATTGTTTTTTTTATTATCAATGAGATAAATATCACCTGCACTCTTCAAAATCTTCTTCAGATTGTCGTAACAGTCATCTCGAATATTTTGCAACACTTCTTCTTCATCAAATTTCCATTTTCTGCATCATCCCTTGCATTTTCGACGTCACTACCAATGTGCGCACGAATAAAAAAGAATGGCTTGTCCAACGATTTGGCCTTCTCTGCCAACAACAAGTCATGAATGGTGAATCGACCTTTCGAGAAAATTAGAAATGCGTCGTACTTTTCTACGTCTATTTCCTTGCATTTGCAGTATTCTTCCATACTTGGATACTTTACTCCTCCGATGCCGGGCATATCCCAAAAGATGAGTTTGGGATTCGTAGGATGAGGGTATGCTTTCGGCTTAATCTTCACTTCTGTAACACCTACTCGGGCCGCCCCTTCATCTTTAGGTCGAAGGCTATGGAAAAAACTATATATGTTATTTACCAGATTGGAGATCCGTATAGGGAAATATTTCCCAAGGTCTCAAAAACAGCCAGAGGCCAAAGGCCGTTGTTACAGACCGAGGTAAATATGAGGTCGTATACGGACCGCGCGAGATTTAAAAGCACAGAGCCAACGCTAAAATATTAATTCGGACCGCAAGAAAATCTATTATTTACCAGTTTTGTCGGTCTGTATAGGAAAATATTTCCCTCGGTCTTAAAAACGTCCTTCGGCCTCTGGCTGTTTTTGAGACCTTGGAAAATTTTTTTCCCTATATATGGACCTCCAATCTGTTAATACGTGAAAAAAATATATATATGTTATTTACCAGATTGGAGGTCCGTATAGGGTAATATTTCCCAAGGTCTCAATGCATTAATTTGCAGATGAATGCATGACTATATATAGCCACGATTTCTTGGCTTGCATTCTGATACCTTTCAAGAAATTCAAAATAGTTAAGAAATTATTAAGAAACCGATATCGTTGTGAAGGAACGCAAAATACTCGTTCGTTTTGTGACTCCTTTATTTACAGTTGTTCGTCACTATATAATATATGACAAAGTATGAAACATTACCCTCTTATGGAGTTGATGAAAGATGATTTTCCAGCACCAGTATTCCCTGATATAGCAATATTTATCTCTGCTTCTCTCCATTCATTTATTTGTTCCCTGTAGAATTGACCTATGCCATTCACGCCATGCTCAGCTACGAAGCGTTCAGCTTCAGTATATGATCTTTGCGCGGTTGGATTTCTTAACTGTGGATGTCGTTTTGAGAAAAGTGAACCCATGAAGAACGTTTAGAAAACTAACTTAGACAAAATTACAAGAATATTATAATGAACGTAGACAGATTGTTAAAAGCCGAACAGTTTTCAAACGACTTCTAGTTCAACAAATTTGCGTGACAATTGAGATCAAAGATAACAGAAGTGCCGTCCGGTGTAGATTAATTTCGGACGTTGGAGTCCGACTTTTTTGAAAATTCCAATAACTCTGCGAATGCGCGGTGCACCGCAGTGCAGCTGTCAGATTCATATAAAATTACAAGGTCAAAGTGATGACAACCGGAAATATAACTCGCCTTTGGAATTTCGTTATTTTCTTTGTTGTTTTTTATCCTGTCGTCTTTTAACCGTTATATATAAACTGTAAATGCTTTATTTATCTTTTCTGATAGTTTTTAAGTCAGGATGGGCAGAAAAACTCGAAAAATAATGATTTTTCTGATTTGTTATTGTTGATAGCGAGAAGCGTTGCTAAGCGCGCGCACATGCGATTGTCGCGTGAGGTTAAAGGTGTCAAAAACTTAACGTTTCCTACCCCCCGATTTCTGGGGTAAATTGTTCCTAGAAGTCATATATTCGGCCCACTGAGCTAAATTATAATTCTTGGAGGACTTGCTCCTGACAAAAAAGTGAAGCAAAAACATGGCGGATTTTTTCGTGCTGACGCCAGATATGGGCCCAACTGGCCATGGCAATGACCACTGACAACCGCGATACAGTGCTTCAGGCGCCCTCCTTTGCCCTCCGGCTGTTTTCAAAAAACTTTTTATATATTTTTTTAATTTTTCTGTATTTTTTTAACTGAATCTTAATATCGAAGGTTGCTTGCGAAGTATAAACAAAAGATGGATGCCACTTTGCGTTCGGCTGAAAATCTGAAAATAAATAAGTAATATTACGAGAAGCGTTGTACGAGTCTATAAATTCAGAAGTCATGCATGACGCATGAAATTCCCAAGAAAAACTTTGCAAATTCAATATCCCGTAAAATTCAATAAAAATTTAGTGAATATGATGCGTTTATGTCTTTAACTGGCATAACAACTGCCTAAAATAGACGAGACACTTCTCGAGGTTTCGACCTGAGGGCCTTCGTCTGGAGGGTTAGTATGGCCTTAGTCAGGAGAGTAAGTTAGTATAACTCTCCTGACGAAGGCCCTCAGGTCGAAACGTCGAGGAGCGTTTTGTCTATTTTAGGCAGTTGTTATACCACATTTGATGCTAAGTTATTTGAAGACGCTGCCACGCTGCTCCCTGATTATATTGGTTTCTGTCTTTAATCTAAACTTCATGACGACGATGAAGACGCTGCAGAAGTTGATGTCCTTGAAACAAAGACCGAGCCAATAGATTACCAGCTTCATAGCAATCGAAATATTATCTTCGTTGATCTGCCTGGCATCAACACGCCGAATATTCTGAATATTGGAACATATATACTTCGAAAATTTAATTGGCTTGAAAGATTACCACACTTTTCTCGTTTTCACTTCAATCCGATTTACAAATCATTTTTTGTTGTCCGTACAATGACTGATGTCGATCTCAGCTTTGCAAGAAGAGGAATACACTTGCACGAAGAAAAAACCTTGCATAAGATTAGAAAGAACTGCTTTGAATGTGCTAGGAAACTGATATCCATGCAGTAAAGATGATATGAGTGTTTGACACTGTCTTTACCGAACGTTAGGCAAAAATGGCAGAATAAAAAAGCAAGTATTCTACAAAATGGAAAATTTTGAATTCAAAAAATTGATAAATTGTGTAATTGTGGAGTGTGTTCATCGGATAGTTGAACGCCTGAAAATATGCGTAGCAAATGGTCAGGCCGGCCGCGTCGTACCTATCGTATAAATTTCCAACTACAATGCTTGCATTGAAATTTGTATCCTAAACGACCGCGGTTTTGTTGCCAAATGATAGCATGTGCCTGGAAGAAGCTTACATCTACAGCCACTATGTTATAAGAGGTGGATCAGGAAGTCTGACCGCAGTTATTTACTGATTCTTTATGTGTGCAATTCTGCCTCCGAGCTGATGGCGTCCAATATATGGTTAGTTTTGAAACTTCTTCACTAAAATGGTCTTTTTTCATATTTTAAATAAGGCTGGTCTGGCCATTTTTGGCGGTTAATAAAATCTCCCCTCACGAGGCATTAAGATTGCCGTGTAGCCGGGGTGCTAACGCAATGTAGATAACTATCGAATAAATAAACAAACGGTTTTTTAGGAAACTATATGCAATACGATATTTACTAAAGTTTTTTGTTAAAAATTATTTCGTGCACAGCTCGACTGTCCCTAATCTTAATAGTCGTGCATCGATTATATTAAAAGTGACATCACCCATATAATTTATTGTTTTATACTCTTAAATTTAATTCGCGATCCATTTCATCAATCAAAATAGCGAAAGCCAACTCTTCCATCGCATCCAAAAGAAAATTCAGGCCTTTAAACTTATTTCTTAGTGGCTCAAAAACTTTAACATACGCTTCTCCCAACCATCCTGAGAGCGAAGATCTGGACTGACTTGGGCCAGTATCAAAACTTTGAATCCATACACGAAAATCTACTTCCATATCCACTGTCCAATAGAAACTTCGCATTTGTTCCTGGAAATCCGGTTTCATCACTTCAAATTCATACGAATCTCTCTCTGGCAATCTAAGATGATCCCTGTATGTTTCGACCAAGAAATAGATGAACCATATCCACTGGTTCTTTGAATTCCGGAAGAGAAAAGTTACACCAGTGTGCTTAAATACATCCCAACACATCTTAATAAGAGCTAAAAATAAAATGTATTAAAAAGTGGTCAGTTCTTTTCTATTTTTATATGTAGCAAGAGTCAGTTTCAATTTTTTTTGCTTCTTCTAGTTATTTTGTTTTTGTTCTTGTTAAATTGAAATTTGATTGGCTGGTGCATTGGTATCCCTCAACTCATTGATTGCAAATTCACATGCAGAGAGTGGTTTCAACTCTTGCGTAGACAATTTTGATAACAACCTCATATTATGTGGAAGCCCGGTGAAAGCTCACTACACTCAATATATTGGCCCAGCAAATTTTAGCTGTATCAAAAAAATGGTGTTTGATTCATGCTGAAATTAATCTGCTAAGAACCAAACAGTTTCAGGAAATACTCCTGATTTTAAAGTGAATATTCAATAATGACGACATAAAAACACTTGAGGTTAATTTAAATGGTCTTAATTTCGAGTGGAATTATACACACTTCAAACTATAGCCAGGAACAGTTGATGGAAAAATGAGTCAGTTATAGGTCCTCCGGCAGGAATCGAACCTACGTTTTTGCGATGCCGGTGCAAATTATTTCGCCAAAAAGTTGATAGTTTTTCCCAAAAAGTTATTATATTGATTCTGAGGTTATTACAATGCTTATAATATTATGCGATGTCAACAGTATATTGAATGTGCTATGTGCTATAACAAGGTGGTGTTTATCTATCTTAAGATATGTTAACATTCAATTACTTTATGAGAAATTAAGGCAAAATCATTTTGACTATATTCTATGTTGAGTTCATAATTCATTTTTATATAGTTTATTTATTCCAGTAAGTTAGTTAAATAAACAGTGTACTTTGTCATGCATATCTGAAATCACGTTTTATTCAGTGACGTTCTATCAGTCTTATTTTCGATTACGCGATGACTTCAGTTCTCTAAACTCATTGCAGAAGGCTCGCGATGATGTCTAACTGTCTCATTCCAAATCTGCAAAGCGATTTCTTCTAGCTCGTTTATACAAGCAAAAAGATAGCGCGAGGTAAAGAAAGCCGATATCGCGGTAGCCATGATTACTCCCGCAATAGGGACAAGTTTGGCGACTTCTTCTGCACCCAGTTCTGTGCCACATTCACTTGCTATCGCAGCAACCAACTGTGCAGCATTCGAGTAACAAGATTTTATGACTTTTGTCTTGAATTCCTCGTCCAAATTATTAAACGTTGCGGAATTTCTTGGAGGAATGCCAAAAAGCTCACGGTATTGAGAGGTCTCTTCCACAATCAGAGCGATGTTCAATGAAGCTCCGAGCAACGGGATAGGAATTGCATTTGCCGGTGCAACTGCAGTAGCCAAAACACTTGCTCGAACTAAAGGATGGAAATTTAAAAATTCAACTATGCATAAAAACATAATCACCTGGGGATGACTACCCCCGCCTGTTACGTGGACGATTTTTGGGTAAGCAATACTTCCATATCTGCTCGATCTGCTCATATAATAAACGTGTCCATAATTTTTAAAAATAACTTACCTTTAAGCTGCGTTGCTTTTCTTCTAATGCAGCCTTGTGTTAAATTTGACAAGGAAAGTATGAAAGCTTCTTTAACTCTCGGGGGCATCACGTCCGAGATTGCCGCAATTAAACGTTCAAAATCCCATTGTTTTTTTTTATTATCAATGAGATAAATATCACCTGCACTCTTCAAAATCTTCTTCAGATTGTCGTAACAGTCATCTCGAATATTTTGCAACACTTCTTCTTCATCAAATTTCCCATCTTCCTCATCCGACTTTGCATTTTCGACGTCACTACCAATGTGCGCACGAATAAAAAAGAATGGCTTGTCCAACGATTTGGCCTTCTCTGCCAACAACGAGTCATGATTGGTGAATCGACCTTTCGAGAAAATTAGAAATGCGTCGTACTTTTCTACGTCTATTTCCTTGCATTTGCAGTATTCTTCCATACTTGGATACTTTACTCCTCCGATGCCGGGCATATCCCAAAAGATGAGTTTGGGATTCGTAGGATGAGGGTATGCTTTTGGCTTGCTCTTCACTTCTGTAACACCTTCTCGGGCTGCCCCTTCATCTTTAGGTCGAAGGCTATGGAAAAAACTATATATGTTATTTACCAGATTAGAGGTCCGTATAGGGAAGTATTTCCCAAGGTGTCAAAAAAAGGCCAGAGGCCGAAGGCCGTTGTTAGAGACCGGGGGAAATATTTCCTACACGGACCAACTAAACTGGTAAATATGAGGCGGTACGGACCGCGCGAGATTTAAAAGCACAGAGCCAACGCTAAAATATGAATTCGGACAACAAGAAAAAAAAAACTATTATTAATTTTATCAGTTTAGTCGGCCCGTATATAGGGAAATATTTCCCTCTGTCTCAAAAACGTCCCTCGGCTTCTGGCTGGTTTTGAGACCTTGTGAATATGTTTCCCTATATACGGACCTCCAATCTGGTAAATAACATATATAGCTATATATATATATATATATATATATATATATATATATATATATATATATATATATATATATATATATATATATATATTATATTATTTTCGCTACGTTATAAAAATATACATTAATATATGTTATTTACCCGATTTGAGGTCCGTGTAGGGAAATATTTCCCAAGGTGTCAAGGCATTAATTTCCAGATGAATGCATGACTACATATAGCTATGATTTTTTGGCTTCCATTATGATAACTTTCAAGAAATTCAAAATGGTTAAGAAATTATTAAGAAACCGATATCGTTAGTGAGGGAACGCAAAATACTCGTTCGTTTTGTGACTCGTTTATTTACAGTCACTATATAATATAAAATATATGACAAAGTATGAGACATTACCCTCTTATGGAGTTGATGAAAGATGGCTTTCCAGCACCAGTATCCCCTGATATAGCAATATTTATTTCTGCTTCTCTCCATTCATTCATTTGTTCTCTGTAGAATTGACCTATGTCATCCACGCCATGCTCAGCTACGAAGCGTTCAGCTTCAGTATATGATCTTTGCGCGGTTGGATTTCTTAACTGTGGATGTCGTTTTGAGCAAAGTGAGCCCATGAAGAACGTATATATAGAAAATTAAAACTAACTTTAAAAAAAATTACAAGAATATTATGATGAACGTAGACAGATTGTTAAAAGCCGAACAGTTTTCAAACGACTTCTAGTTCAACAAATTTGTGTGACAATTGTGATCAAAGATAACAAAAGTGTCCGTCCGGTGTAGATTAATTTTGGCCGACTTTTTTAAAATTCCAATAACTCTGCGAATGCGCGGTGCACCACAGTGCAGCTGTCCGATTCATTTCAAATTACAAGGTCAAGGTGATGACAACCGGAAGTATAACTCGCTTTTGGAATTTCGTTTTTTTCTTCGTTATTTTTTATCCTGTCGTCTTTTAACCGATATATATATATATATATATTTATATATATATATATATATATATAAATATATATATATATAAATATATATATATATATATATATATATATATATATATATATATGTATATATATATATATATATATATATGTATATATATATATATATATATATATATATATATATATATATATATATATATATATATATATAAACTGTAAATGCTTTAGTTATCTTTTCTGATAGTTTTTAAGTCAGGATGGGCAGAAAAACTCGAAAAATAATGATTTTCCAGCCCCAGTATCCCCTGATATAGCAATATTTATCTCTGCTTCTCTCCATAGATTCATTTGTTCTATGTAGAATGGAAGACTTGCACTTTAGACTAATTTTTTACCTCGGCGATAAAAAGGACATTTTCTGAAAGAGCTTACCAAAATTAGTAAAACTGCCAAGTTTGGCTGCGAATTGTTGTAAATTACGGAAAATATAGCAATGGGAAGTTGACGAATTTTGTATACTTTTGCATTACGGCCAGAAGTGTGTAACTAAATTAGTTACACATTTCCGCACGTAATACAAAAGTGTACAAAATATGCCAACTTCCCATGGCTATATTTTCCGTGTTTTACAAAATTTCGCAGCCAAGCTTTGCATTTGCACTAATTTAAGTAAGATCTTTCTAGCTGTGATGATTTATTTTCTAGTTACTTCGATTAAAAATTAGTCTAAAGCGCACGTCGTCCATTTACCTATGTCATCCACGCCATGCTCAGCTACGAAGCGTTTAGCTTCAGTATATGATTTTTACGCGGTTGGATTTCTTAACTGTGGATATCGTTTTGAGACAAGTGCATGAGCCCATGAAGAACGTATATAGAAAACTAAAACTAACTTAGACAAAATTACAAGAATATTATAATGAACGCACACAGATTGTTAAAAGCCGAACAGTTTTCAAACGACTTCTAGTTCAACAAATTTGCGTGACAATTGTGATCAAAGATAACAGAAGTGCCCGTCCGGTGTGGATTAATTTCGGACGTTGGAGTCCGACTTTTTTAAAATTCCAATAACTCTGCGAATGCGCGGTGCACCGCAGTGCAGCTGTCAGATTCATTTCAAATTACAAGGTCAAGGTGATGACAACCGGAAATATAACTCGCGTTTGGAATTTCGTTATTTTCTTTGTTGTTTTTTCTTTGTTGTTTTTTATCCTGTCGTCTTTTAAGCGTTATATATAAACTGTAAATGCTTTATTTATCTTTTCTGATAGTTTTTAAGTTAGGATGGGCAGAAAAACTCGAAAAATAATTGCCAATATTACTTCGGTCTTTTATTAAGAATAACTAACACAGTCATTGTCATAGGTAATTAAAAACTTTAATTTTTCTGTGTAGTATGAGAAGTGTTGTACGAGTCTATAAATTCAGAAGAAATGCATGACGCATTTAATTCCCAAGAAAAATCATAAAATTCAATAAAAATTTAGTGAATATGATGCGTTTATGTCGTTAACTTAGCATCAAATGTGGCATAACAACTGCCTAAAATAGACAACTGAAGGCCTGACCTGAGGGCCTTCGTCAGGAGAGTTAGTATGGCCTTAGCCAGGAGAGTTAGTTAGTATAACTAACGGTCGAAACGTCGAGGAGTGTTGTCTATTTTAGGCAGTTGTTATACCACATTTGATGCTAATGATATTTTATGATATTTTACAATTACATTTCATTATTTATTAAAAATTTTTCGTGCTACCAATAAACCAATAATCATACAATGTTGCTGGTACAATTAGGGATTAATCGTATTCGTGATCATGTTTGAAATTTCATACCTCGAAACCTGTGTCGTTACAATCACTTGTTCACCTGCCATGCCTATACCTTGTATTGTGGACAACCTTCAAAAATAGATATTGTCGTTATCATTGTAAGCCAGTTTGTTGATGACAATTATGAGGAAGATATTAAAGAGTTGAAGAATCATTTTGACCTGGGCTTCCGCATTGGAGAAAACGGAATCTTGAAGCGAGTTCACACAAATCGTGTTCTTCAAAGCCAATCTTCAATACGGAATTTATACTAAATATGTATATTAGTCAATGTATGTATTGAAACTTAAAAATAAATTGAAGCATCCCCCGATTTTCTATGTCTTATTTTAATGTCTGATTTACATTTTGAACTGCTATATTTAAGTACTTATTAAAAATATCCTGACTTGTCAAAATATCTAACACCACTTCTGTTCTCTATATTTCTAAATGAAAAAAAATAGGGTGTATGTTTAGAGAAATTGAAAGCAAGAAAATTGGGCAATTTCAAGCCAGTGAGTCTACGCGTTTGTCTTAACTATCAGCGAAAAGGTCGCTTGCTTCATCTATCAATCTATTCCCATGCATTCGTATAGATTTTCTTTCACTTTCAGACTTTGTAGAGGTACTGTGTGCCCTTTATATGTTCGGAGCAAAATTTAAAGACTTTCCGCCGACTTTTAAGCGAGAATTCCATGATTAGGGCAACGGAATTTCTTAGTCCTTAGTAATAGATTTCAGAGTTTAGTTCGGTGAGACATGGGTTTAGGTTCAGTATCATAAAATCATGGTGAATGTGCATGTCATCCTCGAACGCTAATTATGAGTCAAGTCCTGAACTATTCAAGACAGTCAATGCATTGATATTGAAAATATTCATAGCAATTCTAGTATCATGGAGATATAATAATTATGAGCTGTCGACAATGAGCCGCGGTTTAAGCGTTAATTAAAGATTTAATTCTAATAATTCCACGCAATAAAGAGCTATGCGCCTAGCTGTCTACGTTGCATTTCTTTGAGTGCATTAGCAAAATAAGGACAATGATCAATTTACCAATATTGGACCGCCTGTGGAGAAGCAACGATAATAGATCTTAAATGATTGCGCTGTTATGGCGGAATCTATTTGTAGATATGAAAAGCTATATGAAGACGAGGAAGATTCAAACGAGAACGCAGAAACAGATACGAACGCGATTTACGCGAATACTTCAATCAGATCACGACCAGAAGACGGCAACACCAAACGTAACATCGCTTTGGTGGGCGAAACAGAAAGTGGTAAATCAAGCTTTATAAACGCAATATTAGGGTAAGTGAACACATTTCAATTTTAACCTATAGCTATTTACGGTCAGTGGACAGTAGCAAATGTGTACCAGTGACAAATATGTTATTATTTAATAGAAGTTCTAACCGCTTTATAAAATGCCATAGGTATATATATGCATGTCTATTATGTCTATTATTTGCCGAAGTCACGAGACGTATATCAGTCAATAGCTATCTGCATGCTGTTTGGCATGTAAGAAGAACGACGGTTAATTATATGAATCTTGATTCTTTTTCTTCTACTTTGCACTGGAATACTTTTAAATGTGTGCACAAGCATGTGCTGAACGAATGCTTCGGGGAAATGTATCGAAGTCTGTTGATTTTAACATTCGGTTTTATTACAAGGACGACGCTTCATCTAAAATTACAACAATCTGACACCTCCATTTAATTCGTTATTTGTATAGCTTTTACATCTTGCTTTCGATAACAGATAGAGGCGGGATTGTACAGGGAATTTATATAAACAGGCTTGATTTCTAACACAAATGTTTTTATGCGAGACACGAAGACGGCTAAAGTATACCGAAGATTATTATTGCGCAAGGGTATATATATATATATATATATATATATATAATATATATATATATATATATATACACCCATTTGCAAAACGTTGGCCGCAGATAGATAGATAGATAGATACTCGAAGTCTAATTAGAATTGCATATGATTGCATTTGCATGGGATTTCAATCATATTACACAACATATGCAATTCTAATTAGATCTCGAGTATCTATCTATATATCTATCTGCGGCCAACGTTTTTGCAAATGGGTGTATATATATTATATATAATATATATATATATATATATATATATATATATATATATATATATAGGCTATTTAAAGCATATTATTGAATATACATCCCGAAATATATCGCGATATATGCTTCTTAGAATTGTTTATGGCAATATATACCGGGTGGCGCAAAAAAATGTTTCCCCTCTTAGACTCATCGTAATTGAAAAACTAATACAGATATCTTATTCAAATAAAGTTTGTTGAATGCAGTAATGTCTAACTTAAATTTTGATATATGTCTTGAACATTTCTGTACAATATTGGTCGAGATCGAGCCGTTTAAAATAAAGGTGCAGTTTTTGACGAAGCGAATAACATGACTAAATATCGCGACTCGACTTATTTTCAACTTCCACGATAGGCGTTTTTTAAAGCGTTTTTTTCCATGTATGTTGTCTTGCATGTTTAAGTATTTGATGTTAAAATAATACGTTCGAAAAAATTGGGACCCTAAGGAGTTGCAATGCACAAAGGAACGAAAGCAAAGGAGCTTGCCCGCTTTGTTATAAACATGCCTCGTTTAACGATACAGCAACAAGTTTGGATTTGTTTGGAATATGCGAGGACTAATAATGCAAGAGAAGTTCAATTTACGTCGATGGCAAAATCATTGGAATAATATTCCATCTCCGAGCATAAAAACAGTGAGGATTTGCCAGACGAAGCTATCAATATTTGTTCTTACTGTTGCGTGCTGTTTTCATTCTATTTTAGAACATTTTTTGCTTCTCCCAGAAACGCTACTTTGAGTTTAAACGCCTATATCTTCGCTAATATTGCATAGAAATTTACAATGCTTACATTAAAATTTAAGTTAAACGCCACTCACTCCACTCAATAGGCTTAACTTGAAAATGATATCTTTTTTAGTTTTTAAATTAAATTAGGTCAAAGAGGAGGAACATTTTTTTGCGCCACCCGGTATATATATTTATATATATATATATATATTATATATATATATATATATATTAATATATATATATATATATATATAAGTATAATCTTGTTGTTCGAAAAGACAAAAGAGTGCTCAATACTATAAGATGTTATAGTAGAGCGAATTAAGTAGATGAAATTAAGTCTTAAAATGAATTTATTTAGCTATCGCTACTCTGAGTTTCACGATTATCTCGATCTTCAGGCGATTAAATTCAGGAACTGAATTTAATCGCCTGAAGATCGAGATAATCGTGAAACTCAGAGTAGCGATAGCTAAATAAATTCATTTTAAGACTTAATTTCATCTACTATATATATATATATATATATATATATATATATATATATATAAATATATATATATATCTATTCCAAATAGACTTTTGTAGAACACAGAGTGCTCAATACATAGAATGCAGAGCGTGTTATAACAATTATAAATACAATTCTTTTAATTAGTTGCTACTTTAAGTTTCATGCACTTAATGTATTAAATTAAAACTTCTATCATTGCTGAGTCAAATGGTGGTATTTCCATGCTTCTGCGATGCTCTAAACCGAAGATATAGGCAAATATTTTTGCAGTACATATTCGCCTGACCGAGAAGGAGTTGCTTCATCATATTTACACGTCACGAGAGGTTTATAGTTAAATGCGATTTATATTCATTTGACTGGATGCGGAAATACTAACTTGGTATTATACAGCTTCGGTTATCCGCAGTAAGCTTAACAATTCTTATGTGTTATACCATGAATTCCAGTCGTATAAGGCAGAGAACAACCTTGGAACTTATGGAAAAGTTATACAATTGTAGCGTTTGTGTGTCGGAACAAAATCACATTTTATGTAGAAAGATTTCCGAATCTTATATGAACAGAGATATAGATATAATCAAGATACGACGAGAGCGAGTGGTGTAATATTGTTTTGCTTTATATGATATTTCGTTATATGATATTTTACCATTTGCTCAGGGAGCGGATATAATGAATAAGGCTACCAAGAAGGTTTAAATTCTTTTAAAATCCATGTATTCTATTCTCTCAAAACAGGTTCGAAGAAGATGACGAAAACGCCGCTGGAATAGGATTTGAAAAGTCCAACAAAGTAGAACCCTACCGCTTTCCTGACTCAAATATCACGCTATGGGATCATCCAGGGCTCGACACCCTCTCTACCAATCCCAAAGACTACTTTGCAAGATATTACGATGAAAAATTTGACGGTTACCTCTTATTTATCAAAGGAAAGTATACGATAACCGACAAAAATTTGGCAGAAGAACTTTGCTTGATCAATAAACCTTTCCTGCTTGTCAGAACCTTTATTGATAACAACATAACACGTCGAATAAAATGCTCCGCCAAAGTGAAAGAGATACGGGAAAGGATCAGAGAAAACGTTCAAGAACTTCTCAAAAGCCTGTATGATGGTGATGTCCCTGATAGCGAGAAAAAGATATTTCTCATTAGTAATATGGATCCAGATAATCCCGAATGGGACTTCAGACGTCTCACTAACGCAATTGTGACAGAATTCAAGCAATCTTCAGCTTCGACCAATACGTCTAAAACAGGTATAGGCATCATTAAGTGTCTAATTGGGGCACCACACACTATATATAAACGTTGTTTAAAAGCATAGCAATTAAAATTGAGCACCACAAAGGGAGGGCGAATATCGGGGAGGTCAACGGCGGGCGTGTAAATGTCAGTAAAAAAAAACTTTTGAAAAGTTTGAATGTTTTCAGCGAACACAATTTGGAACATATAAAGATCTTTAGCGAAATGAAAACAAGCTATGTATTTGAGATCAAAAGAAACATTTTCTGATAATTCACGAAGTGTACATGACTACATGAAGTAGAAACCAACATTTGTTATCAAAAAGTAGAAATTTCGAACCGGATTGCATGGATACGTTCAACGAAAGGCCGGGAGAAGGGGTATAAAAATTACAGGGGTAAAAAGGATCGAGGAGGAACTATAAAGGAGGATTTCGTTGTGAATTTTATTTACATTTTTTTTCCATGATAATCTTCTCATAGATATAGATATATCCACTTACTGTATAACTTTAAGTCTGTCTAGGTTTTATCTACTCTACTCGTGTTTTCCCCTGAATACATTCTGAATTCTACATGCATGTAAATCCGGTCTGTGTCGACCTTTGGGTATCTGCAAATGGTGATTCCTAACTTCGAAAAATCACCATTACTATTATACGAAGATTAAATACTTCTTCATTACCACTCCTTCTATTAAATTTAATCACTTTCATATTTAGAGGATCTCGCTGAGGACGAAAATCGTGAAAAGCAGATTCTGTCAGGTCCAATGAACCTCTCAGAAAGGTAGGAATTATTCATAACGTATTAAATGGTTAATAATGTGAAGTAATTTAACTATAAGTTTAAAATTATACGAGTATATTGACAATTGTAAATTGCCACAATCTATGAAAAATCGACAAATAAATTTTACACTTAAACTTTAGCTGGCGGAATCTGCCACTTGTTCCATTTTCTGGACCGGTTAGCAGCAGTTCTGATACCTCCGAAGAAGGGTAAGAATTTTCAATACGATATTTTTTAACAATTATTTTCCCTTGTGCAAGAGAATTAGAGGTCCTAGTTTTTCTTGTCCTACAACGGAATGTGATAAGTGCATGCATGACTTTAGGAGTCAGAGTAAAAACGACGAAGTTATTTTTTTCGGCACATAATTCATTATTTATGTAATACCTTTATCATTATTTATTTTAAGTCACAATTACTCCTTAAATCAACCTTTCATGGCGTTATTGTAAGGTTCTTGACGACATCATTGGCGCACGAAAAGTACGCAACCATGCACTGACTTCAAGTAACTGAAAACATACGCAATTGACATAATCATATATATTTTTTTATTTTAGAGAAATGTGTTATTCATTATTCCGCATTATTTGAACATCGTTATTCATAATTCATTGTGAACTTTGAAGTGATATTCACCGCCAAGATTACAAGTTCATTTATTATTTAATTAATTGTCGAGATTTCGTTTTAGTTTTCCAGCATTAAAAAAAAAGATAGGTTTAGTTGGTGAAACTGGAAGCGGAAAATCAAGCTTTATCAGCGCTTCATTGAGGTATGATTAATAAGTGGACCTTCTCAATTTGAATCTTGATCCAGTAAAAGTTTTGAAAGAATCACAATTTCAAACTTCAACATTTCACAATAACCCAGACAGTAGTAATAATATCTTTACAAGGCCACGATAACAATAACGACAACGACAACGGCGACGACGAAAAAAACGGCAACGACGACGTTTACTTCAGGAATGAACCAACTGTGTCCATTCTTTTTGCATGAAAAAATAAAGTTCACATTTTTCATCTGCTATACCCATGCAATATTTTCCCCACATGTTGTATAGATTGGCAGCCAAAATTGCAAAACCAGGCACTCCAACACAAGAACCTGTCGGCTATACTCATCCAACGGAACAAAATGTTGAATTCTGGGACTTGCCTGGCCTGGGTACAGCAAGATATCCCGACCCTCAATCCTACTACGATCAACTAGGACTGGCAGATAAGTACGACGCATTTCTACTCTTCACCAAAACAAAAGATAGTACCGACTGCAAACGTTTGGCGAAACGGCTTGAATGCACGGGAAAGCCATTTCTATTGATAAAAACTTTCATTGATGAAGATGTGGATAATGAAAAGGCAATGAAGAAGGAAAACTTCGACGAAGAGACGATGAAGGAAAAAATTCGTAACAATCTTCTGGAAGGTTTAAAAATTAAGAAGGATGCAATTTATCTTATAAGTAATGAAAAGCCGTTCGACTGGGATTTCCTGCGCTTGAAAAAAGAGCTTCCAAGTCGATTGCCTACACTTCCATTTGGCCCATTTTTTTTCATGTATGAAGACGCAAATACAGCCAAAACACGAATGAACTTAGGAATAGCTTTGCAAGCATTAATTGAGAAGTGGGAAGATAACAAATTAAATAAAGGTGAACATAACCGAGATGTTTTGTTAGACTTACTGACCTTCGGAAAGATGGGACTGTAAGAGTTGAATACCCTAAATTGGATCAGATAATAAATGATGAAAATTGATAAATTAAAATCTGTTTTTTGCCGTGAGTGCATTGTAATTGTGAAGTTTTTAGCGAAAATCGAGCTTCATTTTAGAATACTTAGAGGCTCTGGAAACATCTGTCTGCAAGATGATTTTCCATTTTCGCGCTTGGCTCAAGCAACATGCCGAGTGTTTTGCATTCGTAGCTCGTCATGGCAAAGTGAGCATATTTTATAGCCATAATACGGCGTCGCAAAATTTAATCCTGAAAAATATTACTCGTTATACTTAAAAAAAGATTTATCTTTTCGTTTCAGAAACATGTCTTAAGTACGACAACGAAAGAAACCAAGTTAAAAAGGCTGGGTTGGAAGCTTCGATAGAGATGATGAATGAACGCCTTGAAAAATATAAGAAAATTAAGGTTGAATTGGCTGTTGTTGGAAGAGCTGGTGTTGGCAAATCAAGCTTTATTAACGCCATCAGAGGGTATATATCTTCAGTATTAAGTTCGATATTTGTTCGACACAACAGAAAACTGACATCAACAAATAATACAATAACATTTGTATAACTATTCTTAACAAATAGACAATAATTATTTAACCGTTGTCTGTTCAGTTATTCATACACGGTATGACGTCATTTGTGATAAGAACAAGAAGTGACTGCTCGCCCCCGTTAAACAGGCAAACAGTTCGTTTTTGTTTTCCTCAACACATGAAAACGATCTACATATAGGATTGAAAAAATGCTATTGGCTAGATTGAGAGACGTGTGTCTGTGACACCATGCATGAATGCGTCTGTCCTCTCATAGGCCATGGTCTCGACCAATAAAGTTGCTTGAATTCTGAACATTATTAACAAAACCCGCGGTTAACCTAGGTCAAACCTCGGTCTGATCGCGGTTGAACCGAGGTCAGATATAGCCCCATTTAAAGTATTTCTTACCTTTTTCACAGAATCGAACACGGTAGCCCATCTGCGGCAAGAGTTGGGGTAGTCGACGAGACAATGAAAGTGGAGTCCTATCCATATAAAGATAATAAAAACATAACAATATCGGATTGTCCCGGATTCGGAACACCTGAATATGCCGACAACGTTCACGATTACTGCGGCAAAATCGGGTTCAATACGTTTAGCGGATTCATAATTATTGACTGTGACCGGTTTACCAATGAATCCAAGGAAATGGCACAGAAGCTTCTAGAACACGAGAAGCCTTTCTTCTTTGTTCGAGCGAAAATTGATCAGGACATTCGAAACCAGAAGAAATTCGTACAAAAATCGAATTTTAACGAAGTAAATATGTTGGCGAAAATTAGGAACAACTGCATTAAAAATTTGGGGAAAGTAATTAAGGAAAGCGATATATACCTGATTAGTAACCAGTTCCCACACAAATGGGATTTTCCTCGTCTGAATATGGCCATCCGGGATAAGCTTCCTTCCCGTGAACGAGAGTGCTTCCTCTTCTCGATGGCAAACCTGTCTAAAGAAATTTTAGTTGAAAAGATTGCAACTTTGAGAGGTAAAAATTAACAAACTTTTTGACTAAGCGTGATTTCTGCATGGTAAAATATTAATTCCAGGACTTATTGCAGCATTATTGCTTTTTTGTCCAAGGCATACACGCTTGTTGCACATGTCACATTTTATAGTAATTGACACTGTCAATTACTATAAAATGTTAGGACGCGCATTTTTATTGTTGATAAGATTCATCAAGTGGGGGGAGTGCAGTATAAATTAGAAATTTTCTTCCACGAAATGCATATATATATATACTTAGATTCTATAACTTAAATGATGGGATAATTATAATTAAATAATGAGAAAATACATGTCCTATTTTTCTGGAGTCATTAGCTATTGAATGAGGCAGATTTTTGATGCGAAATCATCAACACGCGGGGTCGCCTGGAAAAATATCACATCTGCGGACTATGTACGCTACATATATTACGTCAGCGCTGAATGAACCCAGAAAGCAATAAAACTGTATGTTCTAGCTATTACACGGCACAAACATCAACAGAAATTGTTGCATCAGAAATGAACAATGTTGTGCTGCACTCCATGAACAAGTATAACAAATAATTAGTGTGGCCGGATGAACCCTGTTGAACCATGGATATTGTGGCAATTTGTTGACACGATTAAATGGAGGATAATAATACATGAATGCTTGGAAATATGGAATTTATTTCAAGTGTTGGGGAAAATATCGAGTACGAACACGAGAAACAAATTATTTTTTTAAACATGGGCGTATTTGCTTAGCGTATTGGCGTATTCGGCAATAAAACACTGTATAGTATGTATTAAATATTTTTAATATTTATTCATTTCTAGGGAGAATTTACTATGTTCACTTCATATCGCGGTTTAACAGAGCTCTCACGTGGAAGTCGTATTGGCAGAAATTTAACAATCAACTTATTCTTGGAAGAATTCCAATGTTCAGAGAAAAGCTTGGATTTCCAGAAATCGATTCCCCAAAATTCAAAGAAATGCCAACCGATCGCCAAAGAGATGCTAAAGAAAAATTCTATGACCTACCAAAACCAGAAACAGAAGATGTATTAAACTGGCTAAAAAAGTTTGATCGTGGTGAATCCACCAGAGAGAACACGCCACCCTGGTTGGATCCTGAGAGCTATGAGTTCGTTCATTCGTCACTAAATCGTCTCTTGGATGAAATGGGAGCAATGGCGTTTGGAATTTTACGAGATACCATAGCAAAATCACAGGCAGATCACATGGGTATCGATTGATAATTTGGACGAAACTATTCAATTTTAGATAAATATTATCCCCCCAAACACAGTCTCTGTTGCGTGCTTAAAAGACTATAATATTTTTTGCTAGGTCGATCACGCAATTGAAAATGTCGTTTTGTAAAGTAGAACTTAAATTTTACTTTTTACTTTAAATCTTTAGAAGACATATTAATGCAAAGTCAAATCATGTTACCACATAACAATTTCAACATACTGGCGTGTGTAAAATACATGAAACCTAATTAAACTAAGAAATATTTAGGTGTTTTGTATCTTTTTACACACTCGTATACGTATACCCTTTTGGAGAACGTTTTCACGCACTCTAGCCGAATATATCACAACAGGCAAATTGCACTTCACAGTCTGGCAGATGAAAAATTAAACCAGTCTGTTGCTAAATGTGTCTCATTCAATCAGATTGTTTGATTTAATTAAACAGGGATTAACCATATTGTCCAGAGGCAAAACCCCTAGATAGGGCTATAGTTATACTCTTAAAAGAGAGTTTAAATTAAACCTTTGCACCCAGATGTATTCCTCAAATTCTCTAATTTAGCCATCCAAAAAATTCTGTATAAAATGTCTTTTGTCTATGTTGTGCTATATGCATATTGAATCAAACACAGATGTAACTATGTGCATAATTATTGAATCAAAACGGATGTGAATATGTATATGTGCATAAGGGCAGCAGATCCTCTTGAAAGTGGGGACTCTTCCCAATATCTTTTGACTGGATAAAATCCAATATTTTCAAAGCATTGATCTGGCCAGATTTAGATTACTGTGGTGAGATTTTGTAAGAGCTTGGGAAAGACCTGGGCGAGCGTCGTTAAAAATTCCTTAATCGAGCGGCTATAGCATATTTTTGAATTCCAGGAACTGATTAGAATAAGAATACAACTCGAACGGTTACGGGTAATGCATTTTGAAAGTCAAAGAAAAATAAGTGTTGTTACGATATAGCTCTGCTTAACGAGTCTATAAATTTATGAGTGGACTGCGTAAATCAGAGTTTAGAAAACTGACTTCAGAAGCAAAAGATAAAAATTTTATCCGTTTTGCCTTAATTGGATCAAGTGGCTGAGGAATCAAGTCTGCCTTTGTCAAGGCTGTGAGAGGGTAAGAAATATATTTTCTCTTCTGCACAGAAAACCTGATTCCATTTTAACGAACATAAATTACTCTGAGTAAAGAGGGTCTTGCAAACATATTATCGTTGCCAGATTATATAAGATTTGTCCACATTTTGCAAACGGGAAGGAACGAGGATTTCCGTTAATCACAATGAGACGCTAAGACAACAATACTTGGAGTTAACCTTTATACCTCACACAAGCGAACAACTACATCATTCTTCTGAATTGCTCGTTCAAAAACCAGAAACAAGGTATCTCTGCGGATAGGAACAAAATTTGTAGCGAGCGTGATAAAAAATTTGTAGGCCTTCAAGCAGCATTTGAAATTAGGAGTAAAACTGCATGTAAAAGATCCACTCTATTCTACCTAGACGAGGAACTGATTGATTGATTTTATGCTTTAGCTTTTATATTAGCGTCGATCAAAGCGATCGAATAATAATTAAATAACTATAAGGACATTTTGAACCTCTACTCAACGGGCATGTATGAGTGTGAGTGAGCTTTTAGAGTTTTTGAGAATATGCAACGTATACTTCCGATTTAGGCCGGACATAGATCGCGCGTGGACGCATGCATGACACGGAAATAAAGCGTCGATCTACAGAGTGAAATATTCCAAATTTAATTATCCAGCAAATACTGCTTTTGGATAAAGAACAGCGAAAGCATGTGTCTTCCCAGAAATCATTAGCATGAGAATTATTAATGACGCATGCAGCTAAGCGTTCGACAATCATCCGTTGAATAAACACGTATACAGCAGCGAGTTCTTGTGAAACGAAAGCGGTCTTGTACCAACAGGAATTTAAGCTAAATGGGTGCATCAGAGTCTAAGGAAGAGACATCAAAAACAACCAAATTTGCCGTAGTCGGATTAAGTGGCTCTGGGAAATCTGCATTTGTAAACGCCGTGAGAAGGTCTAAGCAATTTATTTAAATTCTTTTTTTTCAAAAAACGATATATGCGTCTGTTCTCAACTTAGCTCATAGGACACACAGGTAGAACATCGCTACTTTTACCTTCTGCTGATAATAAGTATGTTAAGCAAATAAAGAAAAGTGCATGATTACGCAGCATTGCGTTTATATAGCGAGCTAAAACGTAAGATTATATACAAGCGAGCATGTTAAATTGTCTCAAAAGCCCTGCCATATTTCACTTATGTTAGTTATAATCCAATCAATATCAGTATCAGTCTGTTTTAAATTAACCATGCATGTACGTATGTTCATACAAAAGGGAGTACTGTTATAATATTGCATCTCAAAAATACTTCATTGATAATGTTGTAATACAGGGTGTATAAAAAAAATTCGAATCCAACTTTGACAAGCTGCTGTGTATAAAATACTAAAGTAAACGATATAATTTTTATATGGCAACAAAGATTAGCTTATTTAGTTTGCGATTATACCGTTCTTATATCGACACGACCAAAACTGGCGGAGTTATCGTCTTTTAAAAATTGATGCTCGGAATCAAATTTTTCCGCCGATGGGAATTCGAAATGAGACCTCCAGACAAAAGAAAATGCAAATTTAATTAATGGAGGCATTGTGTTCTTCAAACTTCTGTCGTTGAACATTGAATAAGCAGAATTTTTGCGATAAATTTGCGTTTTAGTTTTCAGTAATGATTAGATTTTAAAGCCCTTTGGGACTAATTTTCAATAGAACAAACGTCCAGATCCCATCGGCGGAAAATGGTGATTTTTATGAACTTTTTTTGTCGAACCAGTACTTCTTCATTTTTCAACTAAATTATACGTACAACGTGTCATTTGAAAGAGAAATGAATGAACTGAACAATGGTGTAAAAATCAAACAAATTTGTCAAATATATTTTGCATTATTGCACGCAAAATTTCGATTCTAATTTTTTTGATACACCCTGTATTACTGAAAGGAAGGTTATATACAAACGTAAACAAGAACCTTTAAGAACCAGGGTTGCTATAACCAACAGTCATGTTTTTAGTAAAGGATGTCAGTTGCTTGAATCAAGTCTGTTGCCTACTACACGGGCAGAATATGATGCTTATATTAACTAACAGTCTAATATAATTGGGGGCTTTTCAAGTTTTTTTATGTAGCCTACACACATGAACAATGGCAAGCATTTCAGCGGAATGGCAAGGCGCGTTTACCGCTACCACCGTCCGTAAATTCGACACTGAATTTGTGAGAAATTTTCGGTTTTGTTAGAATCTTGGCAACGATATGGATTGAACAAACAAAAATCAGTCAAAAATTGTTGGCTGACGCCTGAATAAATTAACAGGTACATGCGTGCAGAGGCTTTATACTTCTGGCAATGACGAGACAACAAAACTAGGGATTGCAAAGTTTCGGCGCCCTCTCGATGTCTCAGAAGCCGGACGTTCGTCCCAACGTAAACCAACCTGATACTTCACGCTAGCCTCAACAGGCAACAGCTGTAAGTTAATTGGTTTCCACTAGCTCTTGTCAGCTACCTCTGTAGCTCAGTGGCAAGAGCATTGCAACGGCATCGCAAAAAGCGTAGGTTCGATTCCTGCCGGAGGACCTATAGTTGACTCATTTTTCCTGTCACGTACAAAGACGTACGGGACAGGGGGGCAAGAGAGGCACTTCCCCCCTAAAATTTCGAGAATGAGGAAATTCTGGCAAAGTTGAGCCGAAAATTCAGGCAAACTGAAAAAGAGTTACATATAGCTGAAATTTTTAAAACAAATTTTGTAATATAATTATATCACGTATGCATGTATTTGTTTCACTTTCTTGAAAGCACATCCGCCGCTTTGCCAAGTTTATTATTAAAAATCTGGTAAAAGTTGAAATTCGGGCACATTATATAATTCAAAAATTCGGGCGATTTTTTTTTGCCCCCCCAAACGAAGTTGCACCAGTACGTCGTCAACTGTTCCTGGCTTGAATTTGAAGTGTGTACAATTCCACTCGAAATTAAGACCCTTTCAACCTCTAAAATTTTCCTACATCGAGTAAAGTGTCAAAAATTATAATTGATTTACTCTTATAATCATAATTGATTTACAAGGAATACGTCGGTGAATGTCGATACAAAGAATAGCTTTCGTTCAAAAACTTAAATCAGTTTGGAAAAAATGCAGCGACAATTCATCCACATGCATCGTCATTTGCAATCATCTCTATTTTTTCTGTATAATTATAGCATCGACAATGAAGACAGCCAAGCAGCAAGGGTCGATATTGTGGAAGAGAAGAAAGAAGCAAATGAGTACATTCACCCTAAAAATCCTCTGATAAGCTTCTACGATTTTCCTGGTTATGGCACACGAAACTATCGCACAATTGAAACGTATTGGTATAATTTCAAATTGGAGCAATTTCCAGTATTTCTGATTTTTATCTCACTCAGAGTCACCAGCCTTGATCTGGATATGATAGAAAAAGTCAAAGACGCTAAAAAAAAATATTTTGTTGTTCGTACAAAAATTGATATCGAATACATGTTGGAAAAAGATAAAGAGCATTTCAATGAGCAAGATCTTATAAAGAAAATCCGGAATTACGTACTCAGTGAAACGAAAGAAGGAAAAGCATTCCTTATCAGTAGCTATCGTCCAGACAGGTGGGAGTTCCTTAAATTAGTACATGCTATTGACAGCAGCTTACCGATTCCCGAAAAAGGTAGGTTTTCTTGAGATGGTATTTTTTGCTACATTATGAGTGATAGATAGTTTCTTTTCGAGAATAGTTTTAATAGTTAAAACGCAACTATCCATTTATTTAAGAACTCACAGGCTCGGATTAGCCCCTAGCCGTTTGTGAAATCGTTATGTCCACCGATTGATAACACATAACGTGGGATTCGACTTTTTTCGCGCATGCTACACCCAAAACGTGCTCGATCGCGTGGACAAAATAGTCGTAATTCACGTTGTGACGTCACAAAAATTGCGAAGCATCAACGTCCCATTGGATCGGTAATGTGAAACAATACAAATGCTGGCGAACAAAGTTGTAATGTTCATTCTTTTTGAAAGACATTTTGCCCTTTTTCATGCCAATATAAACTTTGCCGAACAGGCTATTCGTCGAAAATAGCAATATTTTGTTTGTGTGGTCTAACATGACGTCAACGCCGCGCATTTAGATTCTGTAGACGATAGGCAGGATTTTTGATGATCGAAAGTATTTATCTCGTTAACAGACTGAGAAAGAAACCATATCTGAAAGAGAAATATACCTATGTCTGACCCGCAAAATAATAACTCTGCAGTTGCTATAAATAAATGATACTCCTTTGGGCTTAAGTTGATATAATTCGAAAAAATTGAAAGTGAAAGAAATGTCAGAAAGAGTGTGAATCAAGGAACTTGGGTTCAGCAGTCATGCATTATAATATATGCGCACTTAACCACAAAGCCACCGCCGCATTACTGGTCGGAGTTGCACAAAGCTACCTAAAAAAGATTTTCCCAAACAGTCTCAATGCGCGTCGACATCATTCTTTATTTCCATGCACTTATCTGTTGAATGTGCATTGTCACGTTCTTTGAAGCAATTCCTTCAAAGGATTGTCTGTCAGGGTTGTCAAGGAACAAGCCAGCAACAAAATTCCTGAATTATCCATCCATAAATATATAAACACGCCATGTAAAACCTGAGACATCATTGGCATACAAGGCTGAAACACGCTGCATGTTTCCCTCGGTACCAGTAAATGAGTGATAATTAGTTTATGATTTTGTTATTTATAAGATAAGAGAATATAAGAAATTCATCTCATTAGGGTAACACCTTTCAATCAATTGGTAAACTTGTGCCCCTTTATAAATATTTTTTATCTATTTAATTAAGCTCTAGTCTTTTCATAATTATCTGCTCTTTTAATTTAATTATCTTGGTAAACGATTAATTTCAATTTAATAATCTTAGTAATCTTATATGTATAGTAATTGATCGCTCGATATAGATCAGTTCAAATGCCGCCCAAGAAAGTGTATTATAGCGACGTTTTATACTGTTTTTTTCGGTGAAATTATTTAATTTTCTTTCTTATTTCAGGGATATGGGGAAATTTCTTTGCGAAGACAATGGCGAAATTTTCCGATGCTTTCCAGGACAACGCGATTGAGGCTGCAGAGAAACTGATTAAAGACCTTGATCAGTGGAAAGAAGTTAAAATATCCGTAGCCGTTGTCGGAAAAAATGGTTGCGGGAAATCAAGTTTCATAAACGCCATTAGGGGGTAATAATAATATTGTTCTTCTATGCGTTTAGCCAATCACAGAAGGGATTTTTATCGAATATCTTTTCACCGATGCTATTTAATATACTAGAAAAATCCCATAGCATAAAAATTGCACATGTAAAACGTTTCCATAGTGTAGGGAAAACATACGAATTTATGTTATAAAATACTTTAGAAATTGTCATGGATAAAAAAACTTCCCATTGGCTTTCCCTTTAAAAATTTTAAATTTTTAAAAATTATTCCGTCTACTGTAGCGATTCCGACAGTCGACATTTATTTAAACACGTCTATGTGATGAAGTCAATTATTTTCTTTTTTCCACAGAGTCGACGATGACGACGACATTGCAGCAAAAACGGATGTCGTCGAAGGAACAACGATTCCAGTTAAGTATTTCCATCCAAATAACCCTAATATAACGCTTTGGGATTGTCCAGGTATCGGTTCACTTAAAATCTCAGATGTTGAAACCTTCTGCAAAGATATGAAAATTAAGGAGTATGACGCATGTATCATTATGACCTCGGAACGGTTTGGAAAGGTCACTGCAGCTTTAGCGGAAAAACTTAAATCAATGAAAAAGCCTTTCTTTTTAACCCGCACGAAAATTGACAACGACATCAAAGTAAACGAAGAACGAAGAAGAATACCAGAAGAAACTACACTGGAAAGTATTAGGAGAGATTGTTCTAACAGCTTAACATCAGTGAAGACGCCACTTCATGACAAAGATATTTTTCTGATCAGTAACCACCATCCAGGCAACTGGGATTTCGCTCGCCTCACAACAGCAATCAAAAATCGACTACCCACTTGTGTGCGAGAGAGCTTTCTTCTTACCATGGCTGCGTTTTCTCGAAGCATTTTAAAGCAAAAAGTTGAAAATCTTAAAGGTGCGTTTTTTCGATTGTTTATAGTTTCCCCGGACGTAAGTTCAGTATCCTTTTCTTAAAAATTTCTACATCAACATTAATACAAATGCGAACAGTCTTTAAATTTACTCATTCATATTCTCTATTGTATATAGACTATACCTAGGTAACATATTACTCTTTCATATTAATCTTTTCAGGTCGAATATGGATGGTTGCAGCAACAAATTCATTTTTACCCGAGCGTATATCCGGGGGCTACAGCCACATTATTGAAGAAGTGAAATTCTATAGAGCTGGACTGGGATTTCCTGAGAACCCTGGAGGTCAGCAATCCATCGAAAAATTTTACTTAAAACCTGATTCTGACGTGGAAAACTGGCTTAGAAAGTTTGACCCACGTTTCAACAATTCATACACGTCCCTGTGTCGTGCACTGAACATTGTTTTGGAAGAAATGGAAAAGACTGCACTGGAACGTCTGAATGAAACCGTTAGAAGGGGCGCACACCATGTTTGAAAATGACAATTGTAGACGAAACATTAATCGCACATAACGCATGACAGTTGAACTTGCAGTCACCGATAGTTAAACTTCTAATTTACTTATACTTTTCTAACTTATCTGAAATCAGGAAGATGATGTTTACTCAAGTAGTAAACAGGTTTTTTCTTGGTTATAGAAACGGTGTGTTTTTATAAACTTACCCATTAAACTTTAAGCATTTAGTATATGTTAGGAGTGTATACATTAATAATTGTTTTAAAGATATATTATACATTGTAATCACTACTTCTATTTTGTTGAATAATTGAATTCGAAGAACATGCTGTTGAAGTAGGCAAACCTGTTCTGAGAATTAGCTATATTTCTACCTTATCTTACCACATTAAAAGATTGTTAACTCTCCCAAATTCCGCATGAACAGTTCAGGACATTTGTGAGCAGCAAAGTCAGTGGCGTAGCCAGGGCAAACGCGTTTAAGGGGTGTTGGGCATGTTCGCACCGGCTAAGTTTATCCAATTATTAGCAGAAATGGAAAGGATTGCGCTGGAACGTCTGAATGAAACCGTTAGAAGAGGCACTCACCAAAGTTGAAAAGGGTAATTGTAGACGAAACGTTATTCGCACGTAACGTCTGAAAACTGAACTTGCACGCATGCAATTTGATGCGAAAATAAATTTATACCGACATAGTTAAACTGCTAATTTACTTATACTTTTAAAATCCTTTTTGAAATCAGGAAGACGATGTTTACGCAAGAAGCAAACGGCAGTAGAAAAAAAGCATATAAATAACTTCCATTTTCTGTACCTAAAATGGTCAAATATATCGTTTACGCCCGTGTTGTTTGAGGTTTTCACTTGGTTATAGAAACTATGTGTTTTAATAAACCCATTCGGAAAAACTTTAAGCATCTAGTATATGTCAGGAGTGTATGCCTTAATAATTGTTTTAAATATAATTTATATTATACATTGTGATCCCTACTTCTGTTTGCTTGAATAATCAAATTCGAATAAATATCCCATCCTTATACCTAATTATCTCAATACATTCAAAGATTGTTAATTTTCCCGAAAATTCGCAAACAGCAGTTCAGGACATTTGTGAGACAGCACATTTACGGGCGTGGCCAGGGAAAACGTGTTTAAAGGGTGTCAGACATGTTCCCTACGGGAATATTTAGAATTCCAGGGCTTCTAAAATTCTGAAAAAAAGGGCTGCCTGATGCTGGAGATTTGGACAAGATTACAGGTTTGTAAGAAACTGGTTCCAACACGTCAAAAAATACATGCGTTGTAGCAAATAAAAATATCTACATTGAGCTTTAAAAGCAGCACAAATCACTTGACAGTTTGAAATAACCCAGCAAACAGCTAAACCACCCAATGTGATAAATTTTTCGGCGGTTATTACCAGACGCGATGAAAGTCATGCCATTGTTAAGTTGGCTTTTTTAATCAAATAAAAAATAAACCGTTTGTTATCCCCAAGCCGGCGCGGAGCAAATGCGATATGTTGAAAAACTCACAGGAGACTGATGCTCTCAAAGATCTATGTTCACGCCTGAATCTGACTCAGCTATAATAACATTTTCAACCTGAAAGTTCTTAACGTGAAATTACACAAGAAGAAACCCAATATCTGTGATCACCAGGAGTTATAGACATTACAATCCGGTCATGTTTTTTCAGGATTTGGCAAAAGTGCGATTGGAAGGTAATTCTTCTTTATTTGATGATGCAAAAGGAAAATTACAACACTTTTTCAAAAAATCACACAATAATTTTACTGTTTTGGAAAATGATTCACCCTTCAAAGAAATTACGATAAAACACTGTCAATGTCTCTTTTGTTGATGATAAAGTAAATGAAGCGGTGAAGACAAGAAGTCAACTGCATAGATTGGCTCGTCAAACTAATTCACAGACGGACTGGAAAACAAAATCTGTAATAACAAATCATTGAACGCCATGTGAAAAGTTGTTAGAGAGTGTATGCCAAGTGACGGTATATGCTAAATATATGAAGGAATTAGTAGACTAATTTAACGCATCTTATCTTAAGATTCCCAAAATATTGTGGCGGATTCATTTCCAAAGAATACTTTTACATAAAAATCTACCAATGAGTGATTGCAAGTTAAAGCTAGGGTGATTTATTTTGACTTAACCGAGATCAGATTTGTTTTGAAAAGGCATACAAAATCTGTCGGGCAGAACGAATATGTTATTTTGCAACCAGCTATCATCGCATGTGGTTTCGGCCCTGGTCGTATAGTGAATTTTAACACGAAGATTTCACATTTCATTTGTGACAATTCCAGAAAGGTCCTTCATCCAGTGTATCGATATTCGGGTTAGACTCATGACGATTACCTCAACTAGCGATCACTACAGTATTGTTTGATATAGGCTTAAGTATACATAGTGAAAGAGTAAAATATGTAATTTCCTTAGAGCAAGTATAGTCTGAATAAAATAATATCGTCTGTACCTCCAGCATCTCAGTATACGCGAATTCAATCGCCACTAAAACGAATAGAAAGTAAAAAAGGTGAAAAAATTGGCCGTTTTTCCGGACCTGTATCAGTTGTTTTTCTGTTTTAGCCTAAATCGCTTTCGTTTTCATGACATAGTGTTTATATTTCTTGGCGCCAGTTTACGAATAAATTACCCTAATTATAGATATTGTTTTTCCAATAATATATAGACGCTTGTTTTCACGCGTTGAAGGGCGTGAATTGTAGTCACGGTTATAATCTGCACAGAATAGCAATTCTTGATATTGAAACAGCAATATTGAAGAAGTGAAAGAAGAATATGGCTGGTTTGAACGAAGCTTCTGGTCCTGGTATTCTAAATGAAGTAAACATAGGCTTAGTTGGCGAAACACAAAGCGGAAAAACAAGCTTTATTAAAGCTATAATGAGGTATGCGTGAAAAGTCATTATAACCGAATATACATATCAATCGATAAATTCATTTATATTTTCCTATTTTAACCTATACAAATAAGGTATATTACGTTTGTCGAAGATGTATTTCGTTAATTACATAATTCATTTCAATAATGTTTGAAATGCACTATAATACGAATTCTCGAGTTAGTCATTTTATCATGGATTACATTATTTTTATGCGAAACTGTGGGCGTAACAGCAATGATTTGTATCGTAATAAAGTTGTTTATTGTTCAAAGAAAGCTATTGATTCTAACGTCTCATACATCTACTTTTCTTTTCCGCCGAGAACATTATTCGGACAAAACACAAGCGGACCTTTGCTCATGTGTGTATTATTTCATATTAATCGGATTTACTTCGTTTGAATTTGTAGGTAGATATAGTAGCCAGTCATTTGCATGACAGAGAGAGCAAACCAAATTGCAAGCTATATAGTGTTGTATTATACGTATATTCTTGACGCTTTAGATATCCAATTCATTTTTATTCATTTCTTACGCATTTCGAGTGAGAAAAATTATAATAAGGTGTAATTGCTTCTCAAACCTCGCTTTCTGTTATAGACAATACAAAAAAACTAGTGTTTTCCACGAAAGCTTATCACAGACAAGTCTTGCAAAGGACATAAGTCGTTTCAATTATGATTGCGGCGGCGCCATATATGGTTTCTAAAAGATTAACCTATAATAACGGTTTTAGAGCTAAAGAAAGACAGCGCAGCATGTTCACTTGGCCAACAATAGGGACCTTAAAGGACGCGAACGCGACGGCGACGGCAATCAATACAATGGGTCATTGAAAAGATATAAATAATCAAAGACCCGTGATGGGTTTTAGACGTCGTCTTCGTTCTGTTTACAACGGGAAAACGTCGTTTTTCCGTCTTGCCTAGAACGGTTGCATTTCAGGACCCAGCGATCCCTACCTCGAATTAGGCTCTATAGAATTGTCCTTAAACATAAACACAATGTTTTTAACGCCTTATATCTCACTAAATCGGTATAATTAATAATATACAACAACCACTTTGCCATAGCATTTATTTAAAGGAGAATTTCAGCCACGTCGTCGTCGTGTTGCCGTCCAATATGCTTAAGGTCCCTATTAATTCAACACATGACGGATTTTTTTTCTCATTAGCCAACGTTTGCTAGTCGACATGCCGTTTTCAAAGATCGAAGACTTAAAAATTCCGTTTGCCTTTTGAACTGCTGAGTTGTTGCCAGGATACCAGCATTCTTAGGAGACTATTTTGCACGCGCGCGATGTCAGAATAAGCGTTTTTATCGAGTACATGTGTATAATCCTATAAGTTATTATAACTGTTTACAGCTCTTCCGAAACAATGGTCATCAAAAAACGTAGAGACAGCATTGTAATTCCAAAACCGTTGTGGAAATAGATAGATGACAACAGAGATATTTGTGGCGGGTTTTCTCTACTGAAATTTACATATATCTGTATTTTACCAGCTCTGAAATTCGCCATTTTCGGTGGCTCCATAGCTTTTCCATTTCGAGTTAAAAATATCAAGATTATTTTTAAGTAACGTTATTTAAGTGTTAATCAGACCAATCCTACGTAATTCAGACATTTCTAAATGACAATAAAAAACTTCCAAAAACATTTCAGACACAAATTATAATCGGATTGGATTTCAGATGTTTTAAATTGGTAATCAGCAGCAATATCCAAAGGTGTTTCGGAAATTTAGGCCAAATTAAGGCAGGTTGCTGATTTTGTGATATGTTAAATTAAGTTTAGGGAACACGAGAAGCTGCCTTGGAGTGAGTGGGCTGGCGAAACCCGAATATAGTAATTTTGGAAACTTTCGTCATTTAAAGCCCCGAAAATGCAAGCGAAATCCACCATCCAAATGCAGTTTAAAATTTTTCTTTAAATTTATACAAATTAGGAAACTCCACATGGTAAAATCACAGTACTAAGAGTTATGTAGTTGTTATGAGAGAAGTAAAGTAGTTGTAGTTAGAGAAGTAAAGTTAGTTTCGAAGTATTATATGAATGCCATCTGATCAGCTCATTATGTTAATTAGAAACAACGCCAACGAACCACCAAAAACCACTGCCACGGCCATGTGCTTCCTCCACCCTAACAGTCCAAATATAAAACTCTGGGACCTCCCTGGTCTTGGCACAGCACTTTATCCCGATTCCGAAGAGTACTTCGAAAGACTGGATCTTGAAAAGAAGTACAGCGCGTTTCTTTTATTTACCAGAGAAACAGAACTTTCTACCACTACCCAGAGTTTAATTATACGGCTTGAGGCTGCGTGGAAGCCATTCGTATTGATAAAATCGTTCATTGATGTTGACGTAGATCAGGAAAAAAAAAGCAATGAAAATTTCAATGAAGGCAACATGATGGTAGAAATTCGCAAAAAACTCCGAAAAGTTTTGAAAGATCTGGATTGCGCTGGTGAGAAAAAAATAATTCTCATAAGCAACCTCAAGCCAGAGAAATGGGAATTTTGTGATCTGAAGAAAACTATTTTAAACGAGCTGCCCAAACGTCAATCCAGAGAATGCTCGCTTAAAAAAAAGGATGATTTAGCATTTAGGCTTGCCAAGCTTTCCTTGTTAGAAAAAGAGCAAACTATTAATGCTGGGAAAGGTAACGTGCACCTTTTTAAATTTTCAATTTAATGGTCTTTCATAAACTAAGCCGCGTGGTTATTTCTGTTTATTTAGAAGCATGGCTTCAATTTTTGAAAAAAAGTCAAAATACGGCAAAGGAAATTGAAGAGAAAGGGATAGAAGGTGTACGGAGAGAGGTTGAGAGAGAAATCGATTCATGGAGAGACATTAAAATACGTATGGCGATTATCGGCGAAACTGGATGTGGAAAATCAAGTTTTACAAATGCCATTAGAGGGTAATGAGCGATAATAACTTAATGACAGGGGGCATGGTCTCATGCACCATGCAGTCACCAACTTATTCGGCCTTGCTGTATTGACTTCACTATGGTTCGGTCAAAGCTGAAATACCTCATTTTGATATTTCTGTAGCCTAAGCAGTTGGGGTCAGTGAGTTTATTTTTTACTTGGCATTTTACGTTAAGAAAAGGTCGCTTCGTGCCAAACGGGCATGTTCGGTCACGAGCTTATAAAATAGGAACATTCGGGAGTTAATATATATACATCAGTGTAAAATGTCAAGAAATGTTGTTCATGATATCGTCTTTCTTACGCGTTATCTAAATTTTTGTATATTGTCCGAAGAACTAACATTTAAAAGACATTATATTGATAAGGTGTTATATATAAAAGCTTTTTCAGTAGCAACGACTTTTCGAATCTTCTCTCTGCCGACGCGTAAGTTAACTTCAACAATTTCTAATGTTTTGTTCAAATTCTTCATTCAATTCGTCAAATTACAACTAAGAGAAAAACAGTCTATCTAAGGTCAGCCATCTCTTTTACGCGGATAGTATTTGTTTGTCGACAAAAAATCTCCGGATTAAAATGGTGAAGTTCACAAAAAGCATAGCTAAAAACGTAACGTGAATGATCACCTGGAATTTGGAAACCTATCATTATCGTATTTTTATATAGATTCGAAGATGTTGGTGATCATGATAACCTGAAAATTATAGCGAAAACAGGAATAAAAGAAACAACACTGGTCCAAACTGAATATAAGTATCCAGATAACCCTAACATAACGCTTGTCGATTGTCCAGGTATTGGTACGAGAAACTTTCGTGATCTCGAAGCATACAGCGAGAATATCGACATTGAGACGTACGATGTGTTTATCATCATGACTGCGTCACGGTTTACGGCTGACACTGGTGATCTGGCAAAGAAGGTTAGACTCCTCAACAAGCCCTTCCTTTTTGTTCGCACGAAAATCGACGATGATCAACGGAACGAGCAGCGAAAAAAGAAGTACAATCAAGTGGAATTTTTGGAGGAAATTAAAGAAGACTGTTTTCTTCAATTAAAGTCAGAAGACGCGGAACTTGGCAAAAATGATATATTTTTGATCAGTAATCACTATCCGCATCTCTGGGATTTCGCCCGCCTGATAAAAGCAATCAACAACAGATTAACCATTCAAAAACGCGAGTGCTTTCTTTTTTCCACCATCGTTCTGTCTAAAGATATTTTAAGACAAAAGGTCAAAGCCCTTAGAGGTACAGTGTAAATTCTATCAAAATCTTTGTATTACAAGGTTACTAGTTCTTAACTTATATTGGTCCAATTAAAAGTTCACGCTTTTTCAGACTGCTACTTATTATTATTATTGAAATGAGATAGGTCCCACAAAAGAGTATGCTTTAAAAATAAGGTTCTTGAGTTTTTTGTAACCGAAGGCCTAAACATTTCTGTTTTTGTTCTTACAAAAATATTAATCTTTCGTAATGTACGTTTTCTTTTTTAATAAGGTGGAATATGGAGAGTTTCTTTTTTTCAATCCATTTTTTGGAAACTGATCACCTTTACGGAATATTCACGAAAAAGTGACTTTCGCATCATCCTCGAGAATGTGGAATTTTACAGGAAAAAACTTGGGTTTCCAAACGAGGAAAGTAGCGAATTTAAGGAGATGTCACCTGAGCTTCAAAAAGAATTGAGAGAATTCTTTTTGGGTTCAATCGCCGACGGCAAAGGCGTGGAGTCTTGGCTCAAAAAGTTTGATCGTAAATCCGAAAATGAAAATACTGAAACCAGCGAAAATAATCAAGATGAAATTGCTTTAACGTCGATCGAGCTATCAGAATTCCCACCTTGGTTGGACGTGAATAAAGCCATGGAAACGCCATATAGCTTCGTGTCTGGCACGCTGAATCAAGTTTTGGATGAAATGCAGGAACTAGCGATAGGAATCATAAACGAAGCCGTTGCAAGAGAACAAGCAAAGCTTGATATGACGATTGGGAGGCCGCGACAAGAGAACCAGCAGACAGCTTGATATGCAAAATGCCGGTCGAATGCCTATTTGAACAGACCTGATTACAAAGATATATTACAAGGTCGTACATCTGACATCTGTATAACATAGAGATTTTTCTTGATTAACATTAGTCTGATTTTCTTAGCTATAGATACAGTTTTTTACGAGTTAGAAGGAGACTTCATCATATGTAAAATAAAGGGGGTCTTGTTTTATAGTAGGCAGTCCAATGGTGAATATCAGCGAAAAAAAAACAGATAATGATATACATTCTCAAAGGTCAACATGCAGTGCAAGTAAATAAGTTCGCTACACACAGAAATGTCAACTTCAGCAAAGTGACGATGGTTTTATTCAAATTTTCACTATGTTTTAGTACATTTCATTTAAAATAAATCTTTCGCCACTGGGTTGCCTATGGTTTTATATGTGACTTCAGTTTAAAAATATAGAACATTAAATCTCTAAGACTGCTCCATTTCTTCATAAATATGTAATTTTAGGAATATAAAGCATGATAATAACTACCAAACTTTAGTCTGCTATAATTATTTTGCGTTTCACGCATAAAAAATGAAAACTTGTTTTCTTCCACTTGTTTACCTTGTTTTCTTCTTCTCTGTTTACATAAAATTATATTTCTCGTTATTGATTTCTTTGGCACAATAATTGATTTATGCTTCCCCCTATATCAACCATCATTTGCCATCTCATAGACACCTCGAGCACATAATTTAATTGCTTAATATAATGTTTTAGAAATTAAACCACAGTAATAAACATGGTGACCGATCCTAAAGAAAAGTTAGTTACTTGGATTGTTTATTGATTAATTATTTCAATTGAATTTGAAATTTACTATCGTAACATGGCACTTATCTACCGCACTCTTGGTCTTTATTCGCATATGGCAGCTATATCCGTCTATATACATGATTCTGTAACACGGGCTTTATCAGTTTTAAGTTTAAATTGAATTATCGCATTTTATAGACTTTAAGGACTCTAGTATTAATCGATAAAGACAGTGAAATAAAATAAACCAATGAACCACCATATTTGTTCTTATTTAAAATTTTAAATATCCTTGGACATTTGCATAACTGTCTACAAGCATTGTGTGTGATACGCTTTGGCGATTTCTTTCTTACAAACACACAACCTGCTACTACAACAACTTAAAATAAATTCGCTATGGGATCAGTTGAATCAAAAACTAAGGGTTATGAGAAAATCGATGATGGGTCGGGACACGTGAAACCTCGTCACAATGAGAGAGGTGTCATCGAAGCGCAAGAATTGATCAAAGAAAAATCCACGAATTGGCGGAACGTAGAAATCAGGATTGGCGTTATAGGAACGTCAGGCGTCGGAAAATCAAGCTTTATTAACGCTTTTAGAGGGTATGTTAAATGATTATAAATCTTGTTTTTAAATTCGTCGGCTTCAAGTGGAAACCGAGCATCTTTAAGACTATTTATCTGCTGCTGAACCGGGTATATAGGCCTATATAGCTGTATCGCCGTTTGAACAGGAAGTCGTATTTCCAAACTTCGGTGAATATTTTCCTGGCTCGCGTATAATTTAGGACATTCATGCATGTCTAAGGACACCAAATTGGTATTAATAATTTATATTCCCAGTCTATGAGCTATTTCAACAAAGCGAAGAAAACAGTTTTCAGTTGTTGAAATTCGTACTTTCGATATCATGAATTGATGTGCAAGTTCAGTGAGCAAAATAGCAGCAGGACGCTTCTCTTTGTTTATTTATTTCGTTGCAAGCACATGATTTACACGTGGCAAGCATGCAGATTGATTGATTGATTGATTGATGGACTTTATTTACACAGGGTAACACATAACAGTTAGCATAGCTACTGACAAACCTGTGGCCCTATAATAAATATATAGTACAATACTCTTGTCTAAAACTAATTTATAAAATATTACTATTTAAAAAAAGCATAGTGGCCTTTTGTGCATCTAAAAGGTCCTTGTAAAAAGTACGCTTAAAACATCTAATAGCCTGGTTTCTAAGGCTAGTCTTTAATGCATTCCATTTCTTTGCGGTCCTGACTGCAAAAGTATGTCCACCTTCTGTTTCACGCTTATATTTATGAGTTACTAGATTTAGATTATTATAACGCGTGTCTCTACTATGAATGTCACAAGATATATGCAGAGTCTGATAGGTGTGTAGGGAAGTAGTCTAAAGTAACCGTGAAGGCCTTTTCATATAAGAATGATAACCAAAAGCCGGATTTCTTCTCATATAAGAATTAATGATAACCAAAAGTCGAAGTACGAAGAATGCGAAGCTTATGTATAAACTAAATGCATCATGAACTTGAGAGATGTTGTTCATATGGCGATAATGTGCTCAAAAAGTTGTGTTACGAATAGATCTAATGGCCATCTGACAATGACGATAAAAAAGATTACAACTTTGAGAAAGCAAGCATGCAGAGTCTGATAGATGTGTAGGGAAGTAGTCTGAAGTAGCCGTGAAGGCCTTTTCATATAAGAATGATACTGAACCAAAAGCCGGATTTCTTCTCATATAAGAATGATAACAAAAAGTCGAAGTACGAAGAAGCTTATGTAAAAACTAAAAGCATCACGAACTTGAGAGATGTTGTTCATATAATGTGTTCAAAAAGTTGTGTTACGAATAGATCTAATGGCCATCTGACAATGACGATAAAAAAAGATTACAACTTTGAGAAAACAAATAGCAACCAAAGAAATAACGTCGTTTTATACACTTAATATATTTACTGAAGCGTAATACGACTTTGAGCTATTGTGATAAATAGCTATATAACATGATCCTCACAGTCGTGTAGTCATCCTAACAATAGAATGCGCATGCTTTTTTTAAAAGACTTATTTTACTACCTCTATATCATCTTCTGTTTCATTGCATCTCGGTTAACCGGGCTCATCTGATCACCCGTGATTTTTATGGTTGCACTGTAAGGAAAACTTAAAATGACTGAATATCTTCTTTTGTACAATTTTGTCAACTTCCTTCTTTATAATGCGACTAATATAACATCAGAGTTCAAATAGAAAGTAAGATTCCAACTTAAAAAACTCGCATGTTACAGTGGATCTTGATATTTCGAACAATATTTAGTATTTTTATCCTTTTACTAGCTGTCCAGTAATTTATGGTCGCATTTATGATTCATTGTGGAGGAATATGCAAAACGTTACTCTTACCTTTCAGCGTATGTATCTCAATGCCACCAGAGTACATCCGAAATCTTTTTCAATTTTTTCAAACAGGCTTAATGACGATGACGAACGGGCTGCAAAAACAGGCATTGTTGGGACAACGTCAGAACCCACATTTTACCCATACACAGAAAATCCAAAAATCATACTGGTTGATATACCAGCATTCGACCCCTCAACCTGTCCAGAAATTTTACACAAATGCGATACGTTCTTTATTTTAACCGCTACGAGATTCAGAATAGAAGAACACCAGATAGCGCAGAAAATCAAGTCCATGGGAAAATCTTTTCTCTTTGTGCGCACGAAAATGGACTTGGATGAAGAGAACGAAACCAGAAAGAAAAATCGTAAGATCGAAGACGTAGTAAAAAATATCCTGGATGATTTGCTGGATAATTTAAGAGATCTTGACATTGGCAAAGATGAGATCTTCCTCGTAAGTAACTTCGAGAGACATAAATGGGACTTTGACCGCCTGGTCAAAAGCATCCTCGACAAGTTGCCCACTCACCAGAAAGAGGCCTCAATTCGGCCAGTGATGATCGAAACCAAAGATTACGTTCGAAGAAAAATTGACATGTGGCTGGGTAAGTAACTAAGATAAAATACCTGCGGTGTTTTAGATTCAAGAGAAGCCTTGACAAGGCATCTCGCCGGATATCGTGTCCTTCGGTGGGATCAACAAGTTTTTATAGATGATACAGTAATTCTAAACTACCTCTGAAGTAATAATCAACAAAAAATGGCAATCAATAATAGACTTCAAAAATACCTGCGGTATTTTACCTGCGGTATTTACTAAGGGTAGGATTTTTGGAAAAGAAGTCTTGACAAGGCCCCATCTCACAGCAAATATAACCCCTCAGTGGTGTCAACAAGTTTCTATGGACGGTAGCCGCAGTAACTCTTAATTACTACTGAAGTAATAATCGGTAAAAATTGGCAATCAATAATCGACTGCAAAATTCGATTCTTATACTAGTCTGAAGGCTCTGATAGTATTTTAAGATACTTGCGTCAAAATATTAGGGTACATGAGAATTTATCATGAATAGAGTTTCTTTTCATAGTATCTACTTTAAACATAAATAAAAACTTTCTTACAGGTCAGTTATGGTGGGTGTGGCTCTATCTTATTCTTGTCTTCTTTCCACTTGATATCGTGACGTTGGGGTTGCTTTCGCATTTAATCAGCAGGTATCAAATTACGAAAAAGACCGAACATTACAGATCTCAGCTTGGCCTTCCTGAGGAAGGTTCCAAACAATTTACGAAAATGAAAGCAGAATTTCAAGACAGAATGAGGGTATTTTTTCCAAAAGAAAACAGCTTTTGTGCAAAATATTGTGAACGCATTTTACATCCTAAAAAGATCATCTTTGCTGCCAATTATACGTGCGCTTATCTGGCCAACGTTTTAAAGGGGATGGAAAGTCTTTCCATGGATCTACTGGATCAGGCTGCTGCTGAAACAGAGCAAGCCATTGATAAGAAGAGTGAGATGGAGTAACCTGACGAAGTATCATTACGAACTTTACAAAGTCATTTAGCAGTCATGACAACAATTGAACAATGTATATACGTAGTATTAACGACTGATATAGGGCCATTTAAACGAGGGAAAAAAAGTCGCGAGTTATATTAAACGCGACCTAAATAAATAGGACACTACCTCGTCGTATAAACGATACAAAATGCGTCTTATGTAAGACAGGCTTGGCACGGTCGTATAAACGGACAGTTCCCGTCTTATTCAAGTCGAGTCTCTGTATCAATGGTGCATCAAAAAGCGTGGTATTGGCTCCGCAAATCAACTTTTAAATTGTGAACATCTAAATGTAGAGATTCTTATAAATAGTCCCACATGATTGCCTTCTCCATGTGAAAAAATAAGATTGGTAATGAGCATAAGATTTCTTTATAATTACTGAAGATAATATGTTGGTGAAGCAATACTGTTGTATTTTCACCAGTGTCTGCAAAAATATTTTGTACTACTCTTAATGCGATATGGATGATGAGACTCTTGCAGTTAAAAGATGGAATTTCAAGAGTAGTTAACAAGCTTTTCGATCAGTGTGCTATTGATGTTCAAATTTCCAAAAAATGGTAAAAAATTTCAACCCTGTATATAATATCGCGCAAAAACAGACTTATTTGCGTTAATTAATCTGTATTAAATAATCAAAGAAATGCCAATATTCCTTAAAAAATCAAACATGAGACTAAAAAAAGGTAATCCAAGTCGATGAGACTTGGAAGACAGTGTCCTAATTTAACGAATCTTTAGGCCACGTGACGGATCCTAAAGAAAATATCAAATATATCTTAAAGGAGCTTGCACTTACAAGCCGACATTAATGCACGTCAGTGAATGAATTTTAAGTGATTTTCTTTCAAAAAAACGTTTGAAAGTCCGCCGATGACAATTAATAAATCTTCGACAATTTAATAAACAATCAATGATAGCCAATCCGCTACTATCCTTCAAATATTTGCATATTTTTCTACTTTGTTGTAGTTGATACGCCTGGGCAGTTTCGTTCTTACAAGCACGCTAACTGAATTTACAACGCTTAATTTCGTTATGAGCACATTTAAACATACGTTTGGGGGCTATGAAAATATCGATGAAGGGTTAGGGCAACCTGAACCTCTTCCCGATGAGATTGGCGTTGTTAAAGGGCAATATTTGATAAAAGAAAATGTCAAGAAATGGCCAGAGAAAGAAATTAAAGTTGGCGTTACAGGAACGTCTGGCGTCGGGAAATCGAGCCTTATTAACGCTCTTAGAGGGTATGATAAATGATAATAAAAATTTGCATTAGATTGTCCCTTTAAAGCGGAAACGAAGTTTCTCAAAAACTATTTATCGGATACTGAACAGTCCACAAATACGTTGTCGTCTGAAAACAAATGCTACCAGTATTTACGGTCATTGTTTGGATGTCTCGTATGTCTTTGATAAAAATCGAAAATTTGTAAGAACACCAAATCGTTAGCATCAAGTACCTAATTTATAACTTATTTCAAAAGAGGCGGACAAACAAGATACACTTTAAAATTTTCACTTTCGATATCTCGCGTACATGACAACAGCGCAATGAGAAATTAAAATTGTACAGTAAACAATACATAATATTCATATATAGGCTGGTCTCCTTACTATAATATTGCGGTGCAAAGTAACGATACACAAAGTTGCATGCCTACACTGGTCCATATTATATCAGCGAAGAGGATTCGATAGTGTGAAAATAAAAAATATACAATGAGTGTATTCGCTGGATATATAGGGCAGATTTAGTCGTTCCAGTAAGGAAGAAATTGGGCGCTCTTTAAAGGATGCGATTTTAAAATGTAGGTTGATATACATGTAGGTTTACAAAAAAGCTTTATAGTGCGAGATACCTCGGCGAATTACCTTGCGTAAAACATATAACAGTATCGCAATATCGACGGAAAAAGCCGGCTTTATACGTCTTAATTCTAAAGCAAATATACCAAGTTCAGTGGTACTACAAAAAATTCGAAAAATCTAATAGTAAATTTATGAGTATTTTAGCAAAACAGTATCTTTCAGAAATTCACCTGATATAGCTACGTGACTACTTGAATTTTTAACAATTAAGTTGCTGCACACACAAATGCACACAAAGAGGCATAGCTATGTTTGAGTCCGGCTATAGTTTTTCAGGTATTTATATAGCATTGAATTTTTTAATATTATGTCAGCAACATATGACTGATTTGATAACTTTTGCTTATAATTGCAAGCCACTGCGCTTGGAACACTTAAATTATAGCGTAGGAAACGAAATATATTTAATTGGGGGAGCGGAGAAGGGTGGCAATTTTGAACATCAATTCGAATTTGGGCGATTATGCACAGAAACCCGCACCTATGCTTATGTAATAATACCAATTGTTTTGTATTTAGAAGTTCAGATCATTTTCTCTTACAATCTATCACCTTGTTTTTATCATTTTTCGATCAAACAAAGTCTAATAGCCTTTACAGCTGGTGTTTGTACCCCAACCCATGCCCTAGTTTGCCCAAGTATTGATGCATGTAGAAAAACAGGCTTAAGTGTTGACAAAAAGGTGTAAAAGAGAACAAACGATTTAAAAGTGGACATTCTTACCTCATGAAATAAATTTATGACAATTTTTCACACAGGCTTGATGACGATGACGAGCAGGCTGCAGATACAGGAGTTATTGGGACAACATCAGAAGCTGGCTTTTATCCTTACCCTAACAATCCAAAAATCACACTCGTGGAAGTACCAAAAACCACCTCACCTACTTATTCTCGCAACCTTAAGTTGTGTGATATGTTTTTGATTTTAACCGCTACAAGATTCAGAATAGAAGAACGCCAGGCAGCGCAAGAAATCAAGTCAATGGGAAAGTCTTTCCTCTTGGTGCGCACGAAAATGGACTTGGATGAAGAGAACGAAACAAAGCGGAAAAGACGCACGAGTGAAGACATAGTGAAAGGTATTCTGGATAATTGTCTGGAAAATATAAAAGATCTTAACATTGGTAAAGACGAGATTTTTCTTGTGAGCAACCATGACAAAGTTAAATGGGATTTTTACCGCCTCACTGAAACCATCCAGAACATGTTGCCCACTCAACAGAAAGAGGCGTTAATTCGACCAGTGATGGAGAAATCCAAAGATTTCGTGAATAAAAAAGTTGAAGTTTGGCGAGGTGAGTAGCAAGATAAACCATCTGCTGTGTCTATTTTACTATGGATAGAGTTTCTGAAAAGGGTCTACAGTTGGCAGCCCATGTGGTAGTGCACTTCATTCAGTTCATTGAATATCGGATCGGTAGACGGTAATTCGTTTACCGGTAATTACGTCTGATATACGAAAACTGCGAATCAATATAATATGCACAATGCATTTCATATATTTATGTTGTATAGTCACTCGTTCGTCCTCTAATTCATTCAACATTTTTTAATAATTCACATGATAATAGAACTCATATAAATTTTCTTATCGCCCACCATCTAAAATAACCAAACTAACGCACATGCATGATTTACTTGTCGGTTGGAATTTTAGCAAAAAATGTCTTGGCGCATTACTCACAATTGGGAGATATTTTCAAGAAACGTTTCACACCTTTCGGCTATAGTTCGACGATGAAAGATATACAGACCCAGACCAGTCCTCGAGGTTGCATCTTTCTTCGTGATACAGAAAACGATAAGAATTAGAAACTGTGATAGAAAGGCGATTGTGCCCAAACGTTGTTTTTTTTATAACAGAGCACTACTGCGAAAATGTCCCTATCGGGAGGAAAATTGTATACTCCTTTGCGCTAATCTTAATTCCACGTTAATCCTGTCACTTCAATTGATTTAACTTTTTTACCTACAAAAGATGCGAGCATCTTCCCACGGAATTACAATAATAACTATAACATTTTCTTGCAGGTCAACTATGGATGTGGAGAGTTCTTATGTATATCCTCCTTCCACTTGATATCTTGACATTGGGGTTTTTATCGCATTTGATCAGCACATACCCAATTAAGTGGCAAACCAAATCGTACCTATCTCAGCTTGACCTCCCGAAGGAAGGCTCCAATGAGTTTAACGAAATGAAGCCAGGATTTAAAGAAAGAATGAAAAGATTTTACCCGAAATACGAAAACAATTTTTTCGCGAGGTATCGTCAACGTATTTGTCATCCGATTCAAATAATTTTGAGCCCGGAGACTACGAGTGCTCATCTAGACGATGTGTTGACTGGGATGAAAGTTCTTTCTATGGAACTACTGGATGAAGCAGCTACTATGGCAATTAAAGCAAGCCATTAATTAAGGGAGTAAACTGAAGTAAGCTGACAAAATTTTATGACAAAGTAATGTAGCAAGCGTCATCACCGTATATAAGCGTAGTACAATTTCCGATGAATCAATGGCCAGAGATATAATTGCTAATATGTATTTTTTCCAATGGCTTATTTCTTGCATAATTTGCTGCAGTAAAATAAACTGTTTTACAATAATTAAGTTAAATTGCATGCATACAAGGGGATTATTTCCTCAGTATTAATTCTATTTAAAGGCATCCGGGCTAGAGGTTTCTGTTTTCACATAATTATATACTAATACAGTTTTAAAAAGGTTAAGGTGTCTTATACCAAAAAAAATCACGATTTATTCTTCCTTAAAAATCAGTTTCAAGGGATGTAAGCCGAATCGATCCCGAATATTTTATAACTTTAAAAGTTTTATCTTTACAGGCCTGCAAAACGTTTAATACCGAAAAAAGTTTTATTTACTGTAAGTTCAGCTGCGAGGCAGAAATATTTAGAACTAAATAAAACCAACTTCGAAAAATCAAAATAAAAGAAAAAATTAGTATAAGACCACGTTAAATTGAAACAAACACCTAATATCAATATAAATAATTGCTATACTATAAAACAAATAACTTATTAAATAAATAAAAATCGTCATGCACGTTACTAGTAACAGTTTTTCTTACGTGAGTTCTCGGTCTTAACTTACGCCTGTATTCAAACAGCTCACTCACACACTCATTGTGTGAAATTTTTATAGGGGGGTAGGGTGTCTCTGGTGCCCGAGGTAAAAAAAAGTGTGATACACCTTTCTCCCACAATCAATTTTTTCCATCGTTTCATTAAAAAGTACATTTTTCACTGCTCCATTGGCTCGTCTGTGTCGGTGGCTGCTGCATCATCTAATATTTTAAATGCCATTTCCTGCATATCATCCAAAATACGATGAAGACATAGGTTAGTCTGTCTCGCCTTTTGGACAGTGGATAGGATCGGCATACTAGTTATACATCCAAAATATTTATTCCAAAAGTTTCCATCTTCTTTAGTATAAAATTCTTTCATTTCATCCTGCAATCTTTCATTCATTCTTTCAAATGCATCTGAATCTTCTTCTGGAAGCCTTAGTTGGTACCTGTATTCTTTCATTCTTCTTTTAATCTCGGCGCAATTGATTAAATGGGAAAAGAAATTGGCCGAAACCAAATCAAGTGGTAGGGCTGGAATGAACAAAAGCGTAACTAACCATGTTTTCCCTGCAACGTAAAATAATTAGTAAGATTTAACGCTTTTCAACTCATGAATTACACGCATACGCATAGCTTTTACAACGCATTTAAAAAGGTTAAAATAGATTTTCCACAGGAAGTGTTCTAACTATGTAACAAATTTTCAGTATTGAATCCTATCGTTTAAAGCATCATGCATGTACCTTTGAGAATTTCCACTTTTCTTTCCACACTCTTTTTGTACTTTATCCTCAACGACAGAGTCAGGGCTTCTTTCTGGTGAACAGACAACTTTGAAAGGATAGCGTCTACCATGCGAGGAAAATCCCATGTTGAAGGATGGAAATTGGAAATGAGAAAGATGTCGTTTTCGAGAATCCCGAGACCTTCTACACCTTTTTGGCAGTATTTTCGGATCTTTTTCAACATTTCTTCAGTATTGTGTTTTTTCTTGCGGCTTTTTTCGTTCATATCATCGATATCGATTTTTGTGCGTACTAAAAAGTACGATTTTTCCATTGACTTGATTTTCTCAGCCAGCTTAAACTCATGCTGTGTGAACCTCGAAGCAGTCAAAATCAGAAAAGTGTCATACGATTCCAGGTCAACTTTTTCGCAATAAATATCCAGATCAGGATAAGTTGGTGTGCCGATTCCTGGTAGGTCCATTAAAGTGATGTTTGGATTGCCAGGATAAAGGTAAGCTTTAGGGCTCTCTTCGCATACCACCTCAACAACATCAGTCACGGCAGCATCTTCATGTTCATCACCAATGCTATAATAAAAGTATGGAATTTCAATTTGGAATATTCCAATACACGATCAAATATTCTTTGATTAAACAGGCAAAGTGAAATTATAGCTAATTGCTTTCTCTTGTGCTTCATGAGCACGCTTAGACGTATTTCTATATTGTATGGTGTTTTGGCATACATTAATAAATCAGCATAGTTCTACGAGTAGGTTGGGTTGAATTAGTTGTATATACACACACATTAGCTACTGTAATTTAAATACGACTGCGCATGTGTGTATATAGGCTCGTATAATTATAGGCTCTTGTATATATGCCCAAACATCTGCACAAAAACCACCCACCCGCAAAAACATTGCTTTGAATAAATTTAAACCTTATATCTATAGCATTACTATTACTTAGACGTTAAAATATTTTTCTCTTTTAATGTTTTCTTTCCATATCTTTCATTATTATGATCACAAAATTTTATAGTCTTTTTTCTTCTATCAAAGTGCTCGCGAAGCGCCGTAAATTATGCAATCGACCTAAATTAGGCTATCAAACTCGGAACAAAATCAAGGACAGTGACACCTTCTATCTTACCCTCGAAATGCATTAATAAAAGTTGACTTTCCAACGCCTGAATTTCCAGTGACGCCAATTCTTATTTCAACATTCTGCCAACCTTCAAGTTCTTTTCGTATCAAATCTTGTGCTTCTTCGACTCCGTGCTCGTCAAATAAACGTTTTGCTTCTTTGAATTCTGGATCAGAAGGAAATTCTTCATAAAAATATTTTGATTCGGTTTTTCCCATAACGACTTTAAAATCTCGTGTGCTTACTCTAAAGACTGAATAAATTTGAAACTGCCAACAAAACGCCGATGAAGTTTACTGTTATAATTATATAACATGCAGTGATATGAATTATTAACGTTTCGAGGCACGGGATTCCGTTTGTTTGTTGCTACGCAGCATGAACATGCATGACAAAAAAATTTTATACGGGTAAAAATATGACTTAAGGAACTAAGTTAGTGCATAAGAAACTAAGTTATCGAAACGCTATCATCGCACAAGCATATTATTTACCTCCAATCTTGTTGTGCGTGTTTGCATCTAATTAAATCAACACATAAGAGGCTTTTTGGATGAAAAAAAATTGCAGCGAGCTTACAGATTCGCTTCGCGTCCGGTCTGTGTCGACCCTAAAACCCGAAAATTAGCGTCGCGTTACCGCAACGCGTCCGGTAATGGACATTAGAAAAATTTAACAAACACGACGTGACGCCTACGACAAAATGGCGTGGATGTGGCGTGATATGCCCATCTATGGTTGTGTTACGCCATATCCACGCCATTTTCACGGCGTCTTAATCAAGCCGCACACTAGGCGAAAACAGCGCAGCGCTAATTTCGTCGCGAAGACTTTGCTGGGTGTGCGGAGTCGATTTTCGAGCGCAAAGCTCCGGAGGCAATAGCGCTCAATACGACCGTTACCACAATACGACCGTTATTCTACAAAGTATAGCACCATCAAAACTAGATGATAAGCTAGTTCCGCAAATTAAACTAAGTTCCACGTTTCATTATGAGAAAATAAATGATGAATGAGATTTTATTCCCGCTGCTAATTAGCATAAAATTACAGGTTATGCTCTTTGAAATATAAATAAAACCTTGTGTTCAGTAAGAAGGCACAGAAAAGTGGATAACTTAACCGAAGCCGTGTTATACGAGAGTAAAAATAAAGTTCAATGGGGAAATCACAATCTAAACAATTGACATCAGAAGCAAAAGATGGGAAGTATTTCCGCTTCGCCTTAGTTGGGTCAGCTGGCAGTGGAAAGTCAGCCTTTGTCAACGCTGTGAGAGGGTAAACAATCGATTCTTCTTGTCTACAGAAAGCTCTATATACACAAAAGAATATTAGTAACCCTCAACGCTTGGAGCAGCATTTTTGCAATTAAAATTAAAGTATAGAAGCTTTGATTTAATTTTCACTCTATCGCTCTTCGAGGAAAACAAAATAAAAATGCGAAAACAAGTTCATAGATTTGCATATTTGCTTATTTTTAACGATTTTTTAATGTTATATATAGTAAAATCTTTAGATTTAAAACCTCGACACGGTGTTATACCTTAGGGGCCGGTTGTGTAAACCTTTTAACTACATTTTGTGTAGTTAAATCGTAGTTAACTCAGAAGTAAATGACTCTGATTGGTCAATTCTGTAACTAACTATACATTTAAAAGTCAACTACGTTTTTATACAACCGGCCCCGGTTGTTTAGCGCTGCATGGGCAATAAGGGCGAATGTCGCTGTTTATGCTATGTATCGACTGAGTAGCTAGTGACTCGAGTCAAACCCACTTGCTTATCATTATAACAAAACAAAACAAAAAATTCGCCGAACTTAGTTAAGAAGAAATTAATGTAATTATAGATGAATCCACACCGAAAAATACTAAACGGGCAACCGGTTAGGGTGTTTTAGTATTCAAAGATAAGCATGTGTTGTTTATTTAAGTTTTAAAATGATATAAAGTCTTTACGAGTTTACTCAAAATGAATATTAAAAGCATTAAAGCACTCTTTGTTTGTGTATTATCGGGTTTTACATGCACTCGTTCACAAACAAGGAACTCGAAGTTCAATACTACACTCGGCTTCGCCTCGTGCAGTATTGAACTTCTCGTTCCTTGTTTGTGAACTCGTGCATGTAAAACCCGATAATGCACTCACAGAGTGCTTTAATCCTTAAACATCATGTGTCGACATGACCAACCAAGCCGAATTTATAACTTGTACCAACGCCCGAGGTTATATCTATGTATTTTAATACATTTAAATAGCATTCAAATAATCTTGTTTTGCTTAATTATAGAGGGCTATATCAGTCAATGTTAAAAAATATATTTTTATCTAGTATCGACGATGAAGAAGAGAATGCAGCAACTGTTGATGTTGTGGAAACAGAGGCCGAGCCTGTTGAATACACCTACCCACAAAATCCGCTAGTCAGCTTCTGTGATTTTCCTGGTTATAATACACTGAGCTATCCCAATCTTGAAATGTATTGGGAGAAATTGGAATTGGGAAAATTTGACCATTTTCTTATTTTCATTTCACACAGAGTGACACAACTTGATCTGACATTAATAAAGAGAGTGAGAACTGCTAACAAATCGCTTTTCCTTATTCGTACTCAAATTGATATCGCGTGCATGACGGAAATGAAAAAGAAAAATTTTGAAGAAGAACAAATGCTGTGCAAAATTCGGAATTACGTATTAGAAAAAACTAATCATTTGTCATGCACTGAAAAAGAAATTTTTCTTATAAGTAATTACGATCCTTACAAATGGGAGTTTTTCCAGTTGATACAAGCTATAATCGACCTGTTTCCTGTTTCTGTCATAGGTAAGTTTTTTAGAATCAATTTGAGAGTTTTTACGCAATTTTGCGCAACACCAAGTCAGGACTAGTTAGATTGCAACTAAGAATGAGACCGACGAAAGTGGCGTGCGGAATTAGGTGTTGTGTAGGATTCAACAACTACGAAATTAGGAACTTACCATCTACGACTCGGCTATATGCAGTTTGGCACTGCGACCCAAGTTCCTGATGCAAATAAGTTGGTCTCATAAGTAACATGAGGTTTCATGAAAGCGTTGATATTCTTATAGGAGTTTTTCTATTATTTTATAATATATAAAAAGCTACAATAAAAACCTTTTTTGAACGAAATAATCATTGCATTTAAAAATTTAATTGGACGGGCTATAACAAAAATTATTTTGTCAGTTTAACCCCATAATATTTTTATCTTGTATTTTGTTAATTTCGTTTGATTCTCTGGGAAATGCACTTTCAAAAAGTGTCGGCCATTTTATATCATTATACAAGTTCTATCACTTTAAATTTTTCTAGACGAGACAGCCGACTCAACAGAGCAGTATCTGGCTGATGTAAGAGCATTTGTTCAGCATGAAGGGGTTGCAAACATTAAGGGATTTCTCAAGAATAAGCTTCATAGATCAAAAGAAGTGGTAATACGTTTGGGTATGACAGGGGATAATGGTGCTGGGAAATCTGCATTCATCAACGCAATAAGAGGGTAATTATAGTCCAATTATAATCAAATTAAATTGTTGAAGGCTATATATACTCCAAGCAGGAGTAGAGCATTAATTAGATTAACGATACTATATCACTAATTTTAGCTACAATTTATTATACTATTCACTTTATATACAATTTTCATTTTAATTGGTTAGCCACCTAAAACATCATTCCTGCTTTTCTCTAATTGTCACGTCACATCTACAAATAGTTGTTAATAAAAGTTTTTACAATTGCCCACGCCAGCAAAAGCCAGTTTTAAAGAAATCAAGTGGCGATATAAAATTATGCTACAGTCTCTGAAAATGATGTTTAGCAGTATTCGGACGAAAACGTTACGGAAAACATTTAGAAAGCGACAAAGCTGGCGAATATGTTTAAACATATTTACAACATATTTAAGAATTGAGTTAACAAAAAATTGAATGAACCGAAAGGCAAGGGCTATTTAGCTTAGGTTTTGAGTTTATACTACATCAAAAATCGAAAAGGAAACGACACAGCATACAACAAAAGCACCCGGAATGGCTCCAAATTGGGCTTAAATAGGCCAGCGTTTTACGAAGCTAACAAAGTTCTTAACAAAGTTCTTAACAAATTTCGATCAATGTAGCGATCTTAATCGACAAGGTCCAGCCAAAGCCGAACATATACAACCAATAAGTCGAGAGGACCTTCAAAAGCTGCATTTATGCATGCACCTTCGTCAACTAAAGAAAACTGACCTATCAATGATTATTGATGCAAAAAGGAATAAATATGTGCCAAAAACAACCGACGAGAGAGATGGTGTGGACGGAGGTAGTATATTTGAGGAGGTAGTATAGTATAGTGTACCGTAACTCCCTTTGATCAAGCATTTGAATCCCATTAATAACAAATACCTGTTTCGACGACCAAAGAGAAGCATTGACAGGTATAACACCAGTATGGTATGACAACATGGTGGTAGAAAAACGTTGTCGTTCGAAACAAAGTGAAAAGAATCTCGAAGGAAGCGAATCTATTCGCAAACATATACAAATCCCTCGATTAGAGCAACGGCAGTTACAGTGCTTGATTGATCTTTGCTTTGAAGCTAAGCATATCATTGTAAGTTGGCATAAGAGCGAGGGCAGTGTTTGCGAAGCTAATATAGAAGAGACATCCCCACAAAGAGACAAATGTCACCATGATTGTCAACTTAACAAATAGATCACATTGAACCGTTGTCTGTTCAGTTATTATGACATCGTTTGTGATAAGAGCAAAAAAGTGGCCAGGAGTCGCCGGGGAGAGTATAACTTATATATATATAGATATAAAATCGGGAAAAAATTCGAATGTAAACATGAGTGAAACATGTTTTTGTTTTCCCGAACACTTGGCAAATTGGTAAAGTCAAAATTTTGCAAATATCACGCGTCACGTGATCTATGGGATTGACGAAATGCTATTGGCTAGCTAAGACACGTGCTCAGCCAAATTGGCTAAACCTAAATCAATTAGGTTTAGCTAAATGTGATTGGCTAACAACTACCTTGTAGCGGCGTTATCTAATAATTAATCGTTATGCTGCGAACTTGTCTGTGATTTCTGGCAATGCCGCTATAATTAAGAATCTGTTGTAGGTTCCAGTTATATATAATATACTATGATGTATAAATACTTAGTAGATCATGCATCCTGCGTTTTGTCTTCATTCTAGACTTAAAGATGACGATAAAGGAGCTGCAGAAGTTGGTGTAAATGAAACAACGACCGAGCCGACGGAATATGTTCACCCTAGCAACCCAAAGATTACCCTCGTTGATCTACCTGGCATTGGAACGCCGAACTATCCTGATCTTCAAACCTATTGCAAAAAAGTTGACTTGGGAAAGTGTGACATCTTTATCATTTTCACTTTTACTCGTTTTACAGTATTTGATTTGGAATTAGCAAAAAAGGTTAAAGAATTGGGGAAAAAATTTTTTCTTGTCCGTACAAAGATCGATGTTGATGTCACCCCCAAAGACGGAAAAAAACGAATCAATGAAGAAGAAACCTTGGATGAGATTAAAAAGACTTTATTCAAATATGTTAGGGATCTGATATCCAGTGAAAATGATATCTTCTTGATCAGTAATTATGATAAAAACAAATGGGATTTCGACCGCCTTATCCAGGCCATCAGCGACGCGTTGCCTGTTCTTCAGAGAGAATGTTTGACGCTGTCTTTAACCAACGTTACCCGAGAATGCCTGAAACGAAAAGCCAGGATTCTTAAAGGTGAGAAACGTTTATTATTTCCTTAAGATGAGATGAGATGAGATAAGATGTGATGAGATGAGATGAGATAAGTTAGCATACTGTTACACCGCCTTTAGAAATCAATTCCTCACGTGCTTTTCTATGCTTGCGGACGCCGATTATTTTTGTTAGTTTCTTACTCAAAAAGGGAAGCTGGAGGTGTATTTTCAGCAGAATGAATTGGTTCTTCTCCGGTATACGAGCGCTGTAAGACATGTTGATACGCAAAATGGTGTTGAGAAAATGGAATCAGAACGAAGTATAAACCTACCCAGAACAGTGGTACCATAGCAACATTATGCCTTTTTATTATGTAGCGCAAGCTGCTGCCGTGGCAGCCATTTCTGCCGGGGCTGGTGCGATTCCAGTTCCAGGATTAGGATTAGCCATCGACACTGCGTGTATTGCAGTTGCCCTCAAATTTTATCGAGATGCATTTGGCCTCCGGAAAACAACTCCAGAAGAGCTTAACCTGTTGAACACTAAGACCAGAGAAGTTCTAATTAGATACCAGCTAACGTCTGTTGTGGAGCTGCTAAAACCTGTTGTAACTAAGAGAATGGGCGTATTACTTGGAGTTGAAGAAGTTTCAAAGTTTATTCCAATTCTTGGATTGGTGATTGCTGGGAGTATATCATTTGCTACAACATTCTACTTTCTCAATTGTTCTATAAACGAAATGGAGGAAGTCGCCTTGGCCCTCTGGGATAACGCCGCCCAACGAGCGGTTCAGGGGGATCCACAGATAACCTGCTAAGACAGTAGGACAAAAATGTTTTACCTGTGGAAGGAAAAAACGTGGCAGCTAGTAACCGATTAATTTCGTTATAGTTTTAAAAATATTTACACATTGCAGCTGTATGGCTGAATTTCATGCAAAATTAAATAATAAAACTACATAGGATAAAATTTAGACCACAGATTGTTTGTGACATGCGTGTTTTACTTGCTCAATTTAAAAACATATTTTTTAACATTATTTTAAAAACCTTCATTATATATGTTATTCTTTTGATTATCTTAATATATATAATTATACGAATTGCTGTCGAGGAATATTGTGACTACGCTCGCCAACACTATTAAATTTTAGGCGAAGAAATCCCAGTTTAATTGTATAAGATTTAACGTAAAACTAAGTATTCACGTATGTTTTACTTTGACTAAGTGTTGTCAAAATGTAATAATTATATACAATATCTTCTATTCTAAAGTGTCAAAAGTGTATAAGCTTATGCGAGCGAACAGCACGGCAACTTCTATGAAAGTAAATAACTCAGGTGTAGCAAATCTCCAGTTCATCACATTTCATCATGAGATGATGAATGAAACTTTAATTCCGGGAACTGATTTGCATGACAATTAAATTCAAAAGGTTACAGGTAATGTTTTTGAAATATCAACAAACGAAGCTTTGCGTTCAGTACGGAGTTAACGAGAAATTAGTAATGTTACGAAAGCTGCGCGTTGTACGAGACTATAAAATTAATTTTTGATTAGACAAGGTAAATTACACTTATTACAGTCCTGACCCTTAGGAAAAAAACACATGCGAAAACCACATGACATGTGGAATTACATGTGAAATTGGAACCATTGAATCACATGTGGTTCACATGTGGTATAGTATCACATATGGTGCACATGTGGTTCACATATGAGCTACATGTGGTTCAATGCATGTGGATCTGGAACAACCACATGTTGTTCACATATCAGAAGCAAATAACGTGAATTTATTTCGTTTTGCCTCAGTCGGGTTAAGTGGCTCAGCTGGCGGGAAGTCTGCGTTTTTCAACACTGCGAGAGGGTAAGCAATATATTTCCTCTTACTTACAGAGGACTTGATAACATTATAACGAATATAAATTAACCTGCGCAAGGGTCTTGCAAACCTACTAACTTTGTCGGATTAGGAGATTTGCCCACAATTTGCCTGGCCGAGAAACAAGGGTTTCCGCTAATTTCATTGAGACGATCAGACGACAATACTTGTAAAAATTTATATCTTATACAAGCTGACAACTACATCACTCCTTTAAACGTTAAAAAACAAAAACAAAGAAAACTTTATGGCACAATTATAATTTTACCAGGTCTGATATTAGCTCAGGCGAGGAAATCGTATACTATATAATTTATAGCGTTTATAATATCGCCAATTAGGGCGCTTTTCAACACTTAGCCTAGATTTTCCAGTTGAAAGCTACAGCATTCCAGTTTATTCCTTTTAGTGATTTGCACCAATGCATAAAGAGCGATGGGCACAGCTAATTCGAAACAGTCAGAACCTGAGTCAAAGAGTGTCATTAAGAAACAGACAGATGACACTTAGAACTATTAGCATCAGAATTTAAGTAAAATATATGTAATGCGATATATTAATACAAAACAGCATGCAATTGAGCAATATAAAAAAACAATAAAACAAGCGAAAGAGACCGCCACTGGTGTCCAATTCAGCTTTGACATAAATCATTCTTTGACATCGACGCCGACAATATCAGGATGAAAATTGGCGATCACGCGTGCCTGCTGCGAACTTTTAGTTTTAGATCTCTCACTCTTTTAATTAGTTGGGTTGACAGGTATCTGTTGTGGCACCAGAATGCTTTTGTGGCGGCTTCGCGAGGTGATTAATAAAAAAGTGTTCAACACTTTTAGCATCTGTGATGGGCATTACCGAATCAAAACAGTCAAAGCCTGAGTATTCGAGGGAAAAACGGAAGGATGGAATAGTGATTTGTGTCACTGGACAAAGTGGCGTCGGAAAGACGAGTTTTATCAATGCATTTAGAGGGTATACAAAAAATTATCTATGCTCGACTTTGATAAATATTAAACAATTATTGAATGAGGTTGAGCAGGATATGAGGAATTATTAAGGCCGAGGTTTGTGTTATCTGCCGAAGCCGAAGGCTGAGGCGGATAACACAAACCGAGGCCTTGATAATTCCTCATATCCTGCGAGAACCGAATTCAATAATTGTTTTATTATTTGCAAAAATTGAACCTTTCCTTTGATGAAGCCATTCGTATTTTCCCGCTTTTAGGTTTTGGCACAAGCCGCATAAATTAGCGTGACGTCATACCGTGCAATAATTTTTTTCATATCTGACGAAGTGACGTCAAACGTGCAATAATTTTTTTCATATCCGACGAAGTGACGTCACTGTCCAAATTTGGGCAGCTGCCGAGCGGATATGACGATTTCGCCAACAGCTGCTGGCCAATCAAAACTCTTGACTCATTTTCAATAAATAATAATTAAACTTGTTGTTATCGTAGAACTTTGTATCAATCTATCAACTCGAGGCGTTGACGAAACTACTCTTGGTCTTGAACATTTCGTAAAGTTGAATAAAACCTCAAATATACGTGTCATGTTTTATTTTCTTGTTGTGTAGACTCTACGACGATGATTGCGAAAATGGTGCAGCTTCTGTTGACGTTGAAGCGACCTTGGAGCCAACGGAATACAAACATCCTTTGTACCCAATGATTAGTTTTGTAGATTTACCGGGCATTGGAACGCCGAGATTTAATGATTTTGAAGCATATTGTAGAGAAATGAGATTGGAGGATTACGACAAATTCCTCATTTTCACTGCATCGCGTCTCACATCATATGATGTGATGTTAGCGACGAAAGTGAAATCTCTCGGAAAACCATTCTTTCTCATTCGTACAAAGATCGATAACTGTCTTTTAGAGTCAAGGAAACGATCATTTAACGAGGAAGAAATGCTAAAAAGTATTAGAAAGTATTACTGCGAAAATATGAAAGATTTGATAATCAGTGAAGACAAAATCTTCCTAATAAGCAATTATAAGAAGGAGAAATGGGATTTCACACGACTGGTTACAGCAATCAGCGAGGAGACACAAAGTTGAGACTATTCTTATCGTATATGAAGGGAAAACAATGTTTGATTGCTTAATATTTAGTTCTCTGTTTGATCTTATGTATGTACTGTATCTATGACATTTTCACTGCTAAACCATTCACATATTAGGAAAAAACTAATAACTTAAGGAATTTATTATACAACATGTAATTTGCAAGTATCTTGAATAGCTCTAAACACGCTAGTTTGTGTCATTTTACAAGAGCGAAATAATGTGTAGAAATAAATTCTGCATGCGGCCTCCCTCTTACTAGAGTGGACAGTTCGAATTGAAAATTGGAGGCACTCAATCTTAAATGGGCAGTTGAAAAAGTAGCGATTTAGGGAGATATTCGCAAACTCAAAATTGAAAACGTAAATTTTTCTCAGATTGTCTACTGCTCTAAGTGGCATTTCATATTCCTCGACGATATTTTTCTGCGGGTTCTCTCCCGGAATCGTTTAACCAAACCTCGAAGTTACAAGAAAGCGGGAGGCGGACCTCTGAAAATTGTTTTGCGAAGTTGAGATATATTTTATTTATCACATATCAAAACTTTCATTAAAGATGCTATTCTTTGATGATCATGAATTGCTGGTCAGAAATATTGTGATTCGCTCACCAACATCAATAATGAGCGATGGAATCTTTGTTGAATTGTATCAGTTTGAATGTAAACTTATATGAATGTACGCGAATTACAAAGTGTAGGCCTATTTGGTCGTACCATACAGCAACTTCTATCAAAGTAATAATTGAAGCGTAGCATATCAGCTAAACACGTCGAGTTCATCACATTTCATCATGAGACGATGAATGGCGTTGATATTTGATTCCGGGAACTGATTAGCATAAGAATTGAATCGAGAGGTTACGGGTAATGCATTTTGAAATATCAACAAACGCAACCTTGCGTTTAGTACAAAGGTTAAAGAGAAATGAGAAACGTTACAAAAGTTGTGTTGTATGAGTCCGAAAATAATTAGAATGCGTGAATCACAGTTCAGAGAACTGACATCAAAAGCAAAAGTTTGGAATTTTACCCACTTTACCTGAGTTAGATCAAGTGGCCTGTGGGAAGTCTGCCTTTGTCAAGGCTGTGAGAGGGTAAGCAATATATTATTATTATTTATTTATTATTTCAAAACTTCATGTACATGAATAACAACGACACATACATAGGCAGGTAACAACAGGGCTATAACACCCTAGCTAAGGCCACCCACCTCTATTTAAAAACGAAAACAGACAGAAGGACAGACGGACGGAAAGAAAGACAAACGGACGGAAATGATCTAATACTAATCATGATCTAACAGCAAGATGAGTCAAGTGACGGTTGGAAGAAGTTTCTGATGGTGTTGCAACGTAGACATATCAATCGCCAGGTTGAATTGATGTCAATGTCGTAGATATTTCGAAGAGCGGAGGTGTATGTAGTTTTAAGGATTGCTTTAAAAGTGTTATATACAGGAATTTCTTTTAGAGGTGTAGGTAAAGTGTTCCAGAGTCTTGAAGCGCGAACAAAGTAGCTAGTTTGAAAGCATTTAGTCCGAGATTTTGGAACTTGCAGATTTGAAGAGCATGAGTTTCTGAGGTTGTTAGGTGGTAGTGTTGGCAGATAGTTTGGTAAATCAATGTCATATTTTCCATAAACACATCCATGTAGAAATAGTAAGTCTTTGATTTCATGCCAGAATATTTCCTCTTCTGCAAAGAAAACCTGATACTATTACAACGAATATGAATTATTCTGAGTAGAGAGGGTCTTGCAAACTCATTATCTTTGTCAGATCAGAAGATTTGTCCACATTTTACAAGGGAGGAACGATCGAGGGTTTCCATAAATCACATTGAGCCACTCAGACAACAATACTTATCGGTGAAAATTTGTATTTTACATAAGCAAACAACAACATCATATTTCTGAATTGCTCGCTCAAAAACCAGAACCAAGGATGACTTCAGGCTACAATAAAGGTTTCAAGGGCTACCTCAATAGGGGTAGGAATACAACAAACGTGATACGAAACCGACAAAGCTTCCAGCAGCATTACAGTATTTTCAGCAAAGGCTCTATACTCTATTTTACCCGGGTCTGATATTAGTTCAGACAACTTTTCCCGAGGATTCCAAATGATTGGTCACTTGTATACTACAGCTAATACCATCGATCGAAACGCTTTCCAACAAGCTGAATTATAGAATGAGTCAAATTACCCATATCATCGACCTTCGTGTAGAACCACATTTAATAGAACTAAAAGCCACCTATAAAAAATAGGTACATCGGCGTACATATTTGTTACACTGTGATATCTGTGTGTAATTGTATGGCTGACGGGGAAACAGGGAGTTGTCTTAGAGAGTTGTTTTTCAGGTGCATCGTTGAATATGGTCTTCACTAATTTAACTAGTTAGTATTGTAAACAATTTCAAGAGCTAAGTATTAAATTTCAAAGATTTATGTGCTTCAGAATAACAGAAATAAGTGCGTTCTTATAGTGTTTGTTTTTTATACAAATTGCTTTTAGATAGATCCGGTTTTGATTGAATGGAGGTGCCATATAAGATTTTCTTACATTTTATATTTTTGTAGTATTGATGACGAAAATGACTATTCAGCCACAGTTGATGTTGTGGAATCAGAATTGGTAAAATTTTACCATTTTCTGAGTTTTATTGCACACAGAGTAACACAACTTGACCTGGAAGCTGCATTATTAGAGAAAGTATAAAAGCTGATGAAAAATATTTTTCCTCATCCGTACTAAATTTGAAATCGAATCAATGTGGGTAAAGAGAAAAAGTGATTTTAAAGAAGAAGAGTTATTGTCCAAGATTCAGATCGAATTATGTCCTGGAACAAAAGGCAATCTCGGTATCAGTAACTACGAACCATACGGATGGGATTTTTTCCTTTTCCCATTAGAGGTACAGTAGGAGGCAAAACTTTGATTCCAGTGACTGTATTTCATTATTTTAGCTGCAGATATTAATTTTCTACAGAAAACCTTACAGATAAGTGAACTAAAAAAAAGTAAATAAGTAGACTGAAAAATACATGCTGCACAACAACTACGAGATGTTATGATACTCATTTAACGTATGTTAATGTGCAAACATGCATTTCATGTCAATGCTTAGTATCCCACTTTTTTGCTCTTGAAACGGCCTTTGTTCTAGCTGGCATAGATTTCACAGGTTTCTTAATGTCGCACGTTCAATACCTTGCCAGCATTCTTCGACCACTTGCCTCAAGTCATCCTAGCTGGTTGGTCTGTGCCTCACCCTTTTCCGGTTAAAACGGTCTTACAAGTGTCCCATAAGTTTTAGATCTGGAATTTGAGGTGGTAAGCTATGAGAACGAGATCACCAGAACGAGTTTGCTTCTAAAAGATTTCTAGCACATAGAAGATGTGCATGTGCTTAGGGTGATTATCATGGATAGTTGTACGCGCGATCATCTTTGTACCAGATGAAATTCCATGTCCTTGAAGAATTGGATGATATACTTTTCTTTAATTAGGCTCCTATTATATCTTTTAATATTGCCAAAGCCAGCATGACCGAAGCAGCTAAAAGTTTGCTTGAGTGGGATTTAGTTTCTTCGAACCTCTTCAAGTTTAGTCGCATACCACCTTTAGAAATTCTTACTTTTTTTGCGATCTTATGAGAAAAGAATCCTTCAATATTTAATGCAATTTTTTGTCCTTGTGCACCATTACTTTGCCCTTTTTCCCACCCATCTTGGGCAATGTAATGTAACGAGAACTTTATTTTGTTATAATCTATATCATTAGGACCAAAACAGTGTGCAATTAATATGGTTTGCAGTACTGAAACACTCGCACGCATGTCTTAACTGGAACACGCTGCCAGGATTTAATACTGGAATTCTACAACGACTGGACTCAAACTTTTGCTCCCTACTGTACGTTTCTCCGCCTTATTATGAGTGTTGTCCCAAATAGGTAAAGAAGCAAACGATTCCGTGCATGACGTGGAATTAGAATTATCGAGATTTTTGAGGGCTGTCAGCGCTGCATTTACAAGCAAAGGAAGCATACCATCAACGTCACAGTCTGTTTGACGTGGCGTCTACAATTCATCCTTGAAATAGGCTAACGAGAATTTTGCTATTTTGCTGCTTTCTTGCAAATTTTTTAAATGCGCTAAAAACTCCAATGTTTAGTTGATATTGCCATCCCCAAGATACGTTACAAATAAGCACTCGCCTTACAGCTGCTTTCATATCATCGATGAAAAAATGCCTCATTTAGAGGCGTTGTACGACGTTGCGGTATAGGACCATTAACAGTAATGGGGGGTAAACATGATGAATATTTCTCATTTATTGACCCAGACTGAAGGGGATTCGGCGAAATATTTTGTCGAAATGTTTAGACCAAATATTTTCGTCAAGAATACAGTTCATTTCCTCCTCAAAATTGCTCGTTTCTTGATTTTAAGAAAACAGCAACACTGTTCTCTCCATTTTATCCCTCGTGCATGTAGTCGGATGCGATGTTCACGATTCATATTCACCATGTAAGTGGTATTTACCGGTGAATATAATAAAAATTTTGTAGCAAATACGAATGTCCTAAGCGAGATACCGTCAGGAATTTTACCTATTACGTGGCAGATATCTAGCTTTCTCATCAGGCAATTTGAATATGAGGTATAAAATTACACAAAATTGAGCAATAAATGACGTGAAACATTGGTAGAATAAAAAACTTTCTTAAATACCGCATATCAACTGGCCCCATATCCAATTTCGTCTTTATCATTCCATTTTCATTCCTCGTTCAGCAATCCATCGACTCTAGAGGCAATTTAACAAGTATAATCTACTTACGAGCTTGGTATTTATGCATCATACAATAATGTCAGTATATTGATTGCATTCGAATCTGACAATATATCAAACAAACAAACCTTTCCCCTTGTGCATAAATACATTAAGAGAATTTGAAATTGCTTCAGTAACATTGAAAGTTTGTGCAATTTCTGAAAGGAACAAATATACTGTACAGGTAAATTCATAGGCATACCAGTTTTATTATGCTGCAGCCTTCGAGCGGCTATTTTCGTCCCACTTTACCTTTTTTGCCCATTTACGTGCGATCGTCGTAAACTTCAACTTTCGTTCTTCTTTCGTAAAATCAGAAAGAAAGTCTGCCCTACTGAAATAATTTAAAATATCGTATGAAACACGCTTCTCTTTTAAATCAGCCGCCATATTCCTTTGCATTTCTAATGAGTGTATTAAACCGCTGGTTTGTGATTGCGGACGCTAAACGTCAAGTATAGAAATAGTATAAAAATATTGTTAACGCTAATGGAAAATCGACAGTGCTTGTAGAATATTTATATCTCCCTAATTACAGACTCGACTAATGGCAATAAAACACTATTCTTGGCGTCTGTTCTCGCTCACGGGCCTCGTTCAATGTTTTCACCAGCAAAACTAACATATTTGCAGATGCGGTATGTACAAGCCGGACACACCTCGCTACATGCAATATGTTTGATTTCGGGTAAGAACTACTTGCAACTCCAACACTAAAGCCAGTTTTCCACCAGCGATACTTTTCGCGCGAAGCGACATTTTACTTTTGTTTCAGAGCTCTCAACTGCAACCATCTGGAACAAATTGCTCAAATACAAAGGAATAAAGTCGCTTCGCGCGAAAAATATCGCTTGTGGAAAAATGGCTTAAAGCTCGGGTTAGAAAAGTGAATTCCATAAAGTAAAACTATTCATGAATCTAATAGACCGTTATTTTATCACTTGCCCCTTATGATCTTCTTAAGTATTTTCGGTTCCCTGTATACAAAAACAAAGACATGCATGCATGATCAATTGACAAAATGCCTGGAATTAAAATATTCGACTTCTTGTTGAAAAGCTGTGATCTCATACATTCCTGCATCAGATGCCAAAAGTAAGGAGTGTTTTCTTTTCGTCATTATTGAATTAGCAATTAGATATTATAATGCTGAAACGCTATAATGAAACTGTTGCTATAGTTATATGATAAGTATCGGGGGCAGCCACAAATTAAGGGGGAAATGATGCTTACCTTAAGGAATTATACATTTTCATATGAACTCTATGAACACAATAAATTTAATATGCTGAGCCAGAAAACGTTTTCAGAATGCTGTTGCCTTTTCTTACTATTGACTATATGATTATATGGTAGTTTTACTTAGGAAAACAACTTTGTCGTTTAGAACGCAAATGGCTGGTTGCGCTAAGGTCTGTCGTAAAGAAAATTGGCCCTGTAGAAGAGTCGTACACCTACGATCCGGAGTTTATTCGTCAAGTAGTAGAGTTTTACTTGAGAAAACTCGGATTTCCCACTAAAGATTCTGAAGAATTCAAAGAAATGTTTACATTGCTCCAAAGAGATGCGCTCAAGTTTTACTTGACGAGTGATGCAGAGGTATAATCTTGCCTGGAAAAGCACAATCGCAATTGCAGCGAGAGACCATTACCCGTAATACGACGCTGCATAAATTTATATTTTAGCCATGCAGCTTCTGCGAATTTTGTGGACTTCGTGCTTAGGTCAAATAAACTCAAAATATCCTCAAATAATGCCTAATGCATTGATCAAGAATGACTCGCAGAGAAAAATCTATTGCATGGAAAGTATTGGAGTTATTTCCACATTTGCAAGATACAACCCCCGGTTTGACGCAATGCTGGAAAGCAAATCTGGCAGAGGCTTCCTCAATTTTCTCTCTCCCTAGCCCTCGCCCGCGTTTCTAATTTCAGCAGCAGCGGTCATCTTTAAAAATCTAGCACATTTGCATTCGAAGCCTCTGCGGAGGAGAGAGCTGAAGAGAGATGTAAGAGTATTATTTGAATTCTGACTTATCCACCTGTAATATTCTCTCTATATATTATTAAACCCTTTTACAACACTTTCTTATACGTTTCTTATCTATAATCCTAACCTTAATTTGTCTTGTCAAATAATGTCATCAATAATGTTATTACATCACTCTCCTTTTTGAGAAAGTCTATTTCTACAATAATGGGTTACCGTATTTTTGCGGTGCTCTTCCGTCTCTCGCTGATCTCAAAGTCATATTCGCTGGAACTTCGAGTGTCGATTGAGAATTGTCACCAAATGGGCTTTCCTGAAAGTGGTTCAAACGAATTTAAAATGCTCTCCATTGCAGGAAAAAGTAAACAAATTTGAGTTATCGCCTGAACAGATGTTGACGAATGGTTTTGATCGGAAAGGCATGATGACGAAAGGCATTTGATCCAGGAAACGAGCACATTACTAAAAGTTTTGGTCCACTTATTCTTACTAATTCCCCGCTGAGATTCGTTTATTGGTTCCTGAATCTGGTGTTGGACGAAATGGAGAAAATGCAATGGCAATATGCGACCAAGAGGCGACAAGGAAGGATGATGAAGACTCCGAATAAACCAATCCTTTCCACAGTATGGCCTCAAAGTATTTCAATATGAAAATGAACATTTGACATAGAGATGCTTTTTTGTTGAGTTTCCAAATGAACTGGTATTTCCTGTATTGCTGAAATTTTAATAATTGCACTGGACTAAACGAAAGGATTTGTTAAACTTTAACAGAGTTTATAATAGTTACTGGTTCTCTAAAAAATACCAACACAATAGTACTAAATAAAAATATTAGAAGGATTACTGCTTCAATATAGAGGTGTTTAACAATTAAAACTTTCATTCGGGACGTTTGCGACGGAGGAGTAGTACCGGCCCAGGTATTTAGCAATATCATTATTCCATAATATCGCTACGATTAATGTATCGATGAACGTGTTTGTACTGATGATGAGATTGATTTAATCAGATCGCCATTTTGAAATGTTGTAACGTAGCCAGTCAGAAGATTTCATCACTCTATAGAAATCGCGTTATATACATTTAAATGTTATTTTTTAGGAAATTAATTGTTGTAATAGAAAATCTGCCAATGTATACCAAAATTAAATTTGCCGGAGTACATGGCTGGACTAGCGATGCTATAATATAACAATAGAGTTGATGTTCTCCGGCGTAAAGGTGTTTTTAGTCTGACTCTGAACTCATTTGGCATCAGAACTGATTAACTTAGATCAGCGGGCTAAGATATATTTCAGCCTGGCAAATTTATTATTTTAGCCCACAAAATACACCGCAATGCCCGCCAAAGGTATAATAATTTATGTGATGATTCTTTTACATGCAGTATATTGTTTGGCCTCTATCCTAAAAATCAACAAACTCCTACTCATAGAAGGGTGAACAACAAACAACAATGCCCAGTCTACCCTTAAAAATTCCTATAAGATTGCAAGATGTCAATGTTTTGTAAATTATGAGTGATTCAATCCGCCAACATTAATTGCTGTTTCCAATCATTTTTATGTTATGTACCTGTTGAAAAGCCGTATATGGTAATGATAGAACGTTCTACTGATATTTTAATACGAAACAAACAATAACGAATAATTTTTCCAGGAAGTCATTAGCATAAGAATTGTAGCTATAGAGACCACGGTTGATGCATTTGCAGCGAACGCCGTTTCGATTTCTGCTAAGCCTCTTTGTACGAGAACAAATTATACTATGGGTACATCGGAGTCAAAAGAAGACAGAGATAAGGAATGTGTCAAATTTGCCTTAGTTGGATCAAGTGGTTCTGGGAAATCTGCCTTTGTCAACGCTGCGAGAGGGTATTTCAATATTAACTTTCTCTTTTCCTAAACGAGAAGCTCAAATAACATCATGATTATACATAACTTCTTTGTGATTAAATTGCCATTGGTAGAAGAATATCGCTGGCTTTTTATGCCCAATGGTATAATGTATGCCTACTCGAATAATGAATGTACAGCATGCTCAGTAGTTCGTTCATCGTGCAACTGAAACATATTAATGGAAATAACATTGCAACGTGTTTCTATTAAGTCGGTAGTTTCCATAAATCAATTCTGAAACAACCTTAGACGATCAGTGCAAAAGCCACTATTGATGTTATTGCAATCAATATATAAGTGTACATTTCTCGACTCGAGTGTTGCTGAGCGGAATTATGTTACATAAATAATAATCTACATAGCTAATTCCGAAATCAATATTATGTATGATATACGCCTTTATCTGCTAAGGTGAAAGTATACATTTAAGCCCCCCATAGACGGGCAAGTTTTCGTTGACAAGTTTACCCTCCCAAGTTTTATTTTCTCGTGTGTACGCAAAAATATGAGCCATGATAAAATGAGTATACGACCAAATCTCAAAACAAACAGAAATGATAAAACTTCAAATTTTAAGTCACCCCCGCTCGATCGGTGAACTGATCCCTGCCGCGCAACTCCTTGTCAAGTTTTCCTTGACGGCCGTACACACAAAGTCATAAGCATTTTTCCTTGCATGTTGAAAGCTGTCATGACTAGCTTTTGAACAAGGATCTTTGTCAAGGAAAACTTGTCAATTTTTTCGCGTACACACGAGCAAAAAAAAAATCGGCAAGGAAAACTTGTTAAGGAAAACTTGCTCAGTACAAAAGTCAATATTCATACTGATATTATCGTAATCAATGTATACTATTAACAACTGCGGACGAGATTGATCATGTGACATAAATAGCATGTAAAATTATAGGAATGTATAGGGCTTACAATTTGTAGACACACTTCCTACCGCGGCAGGCAATGAGGCCACCCATTAATGCAAAGAACTGTTTGCCAAACTCCATGTAAGCACGTTATATTGAAGTGACGATGTAATAGCTAGCGTCAACATCACATTGTTACCTCAAAGAGAATATATCATCATAAACTGCATACTTGCGCCACCTTAAATGCAGATAAAATAGCCGATATCGTAGGAACTGCAGACTGGTTGTTTTAGAAGTAGATTCGTAAATTTTAGCGGTTAATACAAAATAATAAATGCATTCAATACAAAATATAATTATATTCGTATGCAGGTTTTTTATAGCGATTTATTATACCTGACAAAGTGCCTTGAAATTTTGAAAAGCGCCTTTTTTTTTACTAGTATGCTGTAACCCAAAATAATTCCAATTCCAGCACTTAATTTTTGCGCTCATGCATGTTTAGTTTTTCTAAACATTGCAACCATTTTGCATTAACTTTGTTTATCATTACTCGATTGCGTAGCATTTCTTTATATTATTATTTCATGTCTGTCCGTGCAAATGAAAATTCCGCAAAAATTCATTCAACATAAACCAAACCACATAGAACACATCCGGAATTTTAAGACTCGTGGGTCCCCCCGATTGACACAAGTCGAGCTGGACCTGATTGCGGTCACTGAAGAGAATTATGCGAAATTAATAAATTCAGGCCCAAAAATAAATATTATTAATCCCAGACTTTCAAAATAAATAAGATATTGTGTTAGGCGCACGCTGATAGCCTTAGACTTTATTTTAAGAAGTTTGCATTTTTCATTTCCTTTCAGAATTGATGATGACGACGAAAAGGGAGCAAGTGTAGATATTGTGGAAACAGGAAAAAATGCCTATGAATTTATCAATCCCGAAAATCCTCATGTCAGTTACTGGGATACACCTGGATATGGTACATCAAACTATCCAAATCTTCAAAAGTATTGGAAGGAGTGTGAATTGCAAAAATTTGACACATTTCTGATTTTTATATCTCTCAGAGTTACAAAACTTGATCTAGAGTTGATAAAAAAAGTAAAATCTGCCAAAAAGTCATTCCTCATCATCCGCACCAAAATTGATATCGAATCCAGATTATTACAGAAACGTAAGAATCCGGTTAAAGAAGACGAATTCTTGGAAAAAGTCCGGGATTATGTGCATAATAAATTGAATTTGGATTCTTCCTCAAAAGACAGGACATATCTCATCAGCAACTATGATCCATACAAGTGGGAATTCTTTCAACTGATACAAGCTATGAATAAAGAGTTCTCTCTTCCTGAAATGGGTAGGTTTCACTAAATATTCTCCGACTATTTAATACAGATTTTCTTTCAAACTATTTGATGATACTTAAATAATTTATTGTTTTATATAGCTACATGGCAGCAGTTTTTTGTAAATAGAATGATGAGATCTGCCAGGGCGTTTAAGTTTAAGGGGATTGAAGCTGCACAAAAGCTGGTGAAAGAAGTCAATAAATGGAAAGGAGTAAAAATAAAGGTTGCTATAGTTGGACAATCTGGTTGCGGCAAATCGAGTTTTGTGAACGCCATTAGAAGGTAACATTATGACAATATCGTTATATTGTCCGGACATTTGTCTGTATTTTTCAATTTTTCGATTTCTATTTTCCAAATTATTTTCCTCCATATACCTAGGACAGCGATAAACCATTTTTTTGAGCCAGTTGTGATTCTATTACTAAAATAGATTTTTGTATTATATTTCGTTAGCATATGCTAAATATGACTGAAAAGGGTGAGAAAGGAAACCAATCAAAATTGTGTCAACGGTGTAAAAAAGTTGTTATAACTATAATTAGTAGAAACAATTAAAAATTTGCTAGAACTTAATGGTACGGAACTGAAAAATATCAATCACATGCAGTGTAAAAACGGATAGTTGAAATCCAATTGCATATCAAAATTGGTTTTCTCAGATGCATTTGTATTCTAACAAAATTCATTTGGTAAATCCCGGTGAACAAAATAAAATTACTAAAATACCGGTTAAAATAAAAATTCTGTTAGAGACTATTATCCTTTGTTTCTTTAGTGTGAAAGACGACGACCCAAATGCAGCACAAACGGGAGTGACCGAAACGACAATCAAATCTACTCCGTATTCTTATCCACATAATCCC